TTTTATTGAAATCAAGCTTTCACCATTGTTTGCTTTTCAAGTTGATAAATCAACAGACTTGAGTTCGTGATCGCAGTTGTTGTTGGTCTTTGTCTATATTCATGCGGGTGATAGCAAAGAAGAGCTTTTATTTTTTAATGATAGCATGGAAAAAAATAAATACGTTTTCGAAACTGGATGATTAAAATGGGTTAAACGGCTGTGGGGGTTTGAACGGATGGTGTGCCATCTATGTTTTGGTAAAAATCGGGCTTCCAGAAAACAGAAAAGATTTAGCTCCCTAACCACTGCCCTCGCCATCAAGGCTCCATTGCTAGTAAAGTGGTAACTTATATTAAATTAAATCTGGAGCTTTCAAAGAACTGTGCAAATACATTAAATAAAGATCACGAGGTTCTGCTTTTCTACACTACATCATGCTGGCTGTCAAAAGGAAATGTAAATCGTGTTGTGAAATTGAAAGCTGAAATCAAGTTGTCCTTCGAAGTACAAATGAAACAAGACCAGAGTTTCTTCCAGGCATCTCTTCGGGGGGCTTAGCCCCCCCCCCCCCCCCGAAATTTTTTTACCGCCCCCCCCCCCCCCCCCGAACGAAATGAAATTTATATAATTTATATAGAAAATATATACTTTTAACAGTGTCCGCCCCCCCCGAAGAAAGTTTACCGCCCCCCCCCCCCCCCCGAAGATTTCAAGTGCCCCCCCGGAGAAAAAAGTCTGGAAGAAACACTGAACAAGACTCTTTTGGTACACTTAATACGACATACCTAGCAGATGTATTCGAACATCAACATAAGCTTGACCTGAAGCTTCAGGGAAAATGAACGCATATTATCACTTTCCATGATAAATTCGGGGCATTTTTATCAAAGCTGCAAAAATAAATCTTGGAAATATTGCCATGTTTGAGAACTCTGCAATGTAGTAGATGAATCTGTTTGTGAGATAATTAACATTTTGAAAGAAGCGATTTCTGGGCATTTTGAATCTCTTTAAAACGAACTGCAGCGCTATTTTTCTGCGCTGAAAAAAGAAGAATCTGCATTGACGCATTACCCATTCTCTTCTTCCCTTGATGTTGCCAGCATTCCAGGTGAATTACAAGATGAATTCTTTGATTTTCAGAATGATTCAGCGCAAGATGAAAAACTGCACACACAATTTTGGTGTAGTATTCACCATTCATACCCAAACGTAATATTGATTGACTTTTCGAGAATAGATTTTTAACACTATTCTCCGATTAAAAACAAAATTAAGGAATAAATTGAATGTTGATAATGAAATAGGTAGGCGTTAACAAAAACTTAACCGCGAATGTTTAGTAAATAACACGCAATTTTACACATGGTATTAAAACAGTTATCAAGGGTAGTTCACATTGAAAGTCTACTTGAAAATCTTAATTTAGTGCTTGTTAATTTCCATACTAATTTCGGCTTTTTAATTCTATGGGGGTCGCGGGTCACTTACTTTTTATAAAAGGGGGTCGCCACTCGAAAAAGGTTGGGAACCACTGTTCTAAGGCTTCCTTTGCCAATGCTATAGGAGTGCTGCTTGATGCACTGACTTTGAAGACTTTTTCCTCTGTGGTTGTACAGGCATGTAGAAAAATTAGCAACACTGTTGGTTTTACCTTGCATTCGCTGTTGTGTGTGAGAAAGAAGGGCCAGGTCGACAGCAAAGTCCAGGTCATCCAGCTGGCTCCACAGTGTCCACTGTATACCGTTTCGCGTTTTCTCTGTTGACATCTTCATAGTCTAGAGTCTAGTCAATGGCTAGCAGGAACAGGAATAGTGAAAGTAGGCAACCCTGCCTTACTTCAGTCATTACAGGCCTCCGAAGTCTGTCGACCATGCACTACTTTACATTTTAGGCCTTCATACGAGGACATAATGATGTTGACTATTTCCTGTGGCACCCTATAGCGCCACAAGAATTAAATAAGATGTTATGCGCTGTATGTACGCTTTCTTAACAAGAGAAAAAGTGAACAATTATTAAATATTGGAAAAAGTTAAAGCAAAAAAAAAATTCATCAGTTGTCTCAGATTGCATAATAAGATAATAAGATTTATAATAAGATAATAAGATTTAGAAATGAACAATAGAAATACAATAAAAGAAGAAAATTGACTACTTATAAATATTTAAACCAATTAGGATGAAATACAATAAAAGAAGAAAATTGACTACTTATAAATATTTAAACCAATTAGGATGAAATGAGTGTTGAGTAAAATAGGACTATCATTACCGAACAAATGTAACCATATAAGATTTTTTTTTTAAATTAAGCTTTATTGTCAAATTTTTTTTTCTTTTCCCGCCTCAGACATGTAATTTACAGCGTCGGTTGTGTGTTCGCTTTAGTATTACAGTTTTCATCACCGGCTTGTGAGGACTGATACATATTTACAATAGTAATATTTCTTTCTTACTTGTAGCCTACTTTCATTCATTTAAGATGGTTTACTTATACATAGATCTAATACAAAACGTCTAAATATATAAAAATATTTTAAAAAAAAAAACCCAACCTGAAAATGCAAATGTGTAATTAAATGATAATTCAAGGGATTTTTTTTTCTCAAATAGAATAAATAACTTTACCGAAAACATTAGGTAGAAAATATTAGTTTATTAAAGTTTCATATATTAAGAAACTTAATTAATTAATACAGCTGATAGTTGTCTATTTAAACTGAGACCAATAAATATTTTAAAATGTAACAATAGTAAAAAAAAACACATCAAGATTCTTATAAATTTTATTATTTTTAAGTTTAGAATAATATTAAATAAGGAACCTCATTTTTTTCAATGCTGTCTAATTTGTTTGAATGTAAAGGACATAAATATCGGTTATTGCCCTTAGTAATTTACAATTTTTAAATGGGAAGTGACTGAGTGGCTCACACAATTTAAACGTGATGTACAGGAAATCAACATTTTTAATATAAAGTTAATATATGATAGTAAGTGTTGGAATGGCACTTCCAGTGTGCAATCGTACTATCAAATATAGAAGCTTGTCATAAAACAGCTCTTTAAAAAAACACATAAAAGCGAAAAGCTCTTAGAATATGCTTTAGAGGTGTATGATATACAATTATCGAATACTGAAGGTTTTTTTAAAAAATCGGAAATAGAGTAAATTACACCCTTCGGTTTCCAAAGATTGTTCTAAAGTTGAAACAAATCGACTTACAAGAGCTAATACTTATGTATGAAATCTCGTTCACCTAACTGAAGCGGTAATCGGTACTAGAAACCGGAAATTATCATTCTGATGTTTGAGGTCAGTCAACATTTAAAAATAAACTTAGTATAAGATCTTATACTTATACATAACACTTAATCTCCCTAACTGAAATAGTACAGACGTCATCTCGCTCCCGTGGAAAAAAATGTATCACTTTCGATTACCGGAAATTGTTCAAAAGTTGACAGAAACCTGCGCATACATATCTAATCCCCAACAGTGAAATTCGTCCATCTAACTAAAATAATACCCAGCGGCTTTTGAGAAACCGAAATTAGATACATTAACGCTTCCGGATACCGGAAATAGCTTGAAACGATAGAAAACTACAAATAGGATCTAATACTTTGACGTAAAGCTTAGTCAACGTAACTGACACGGTACACAAACAATCGTGTTTACACACAGCACGCACGCACGCACATACCAACACACTCACACAATCTCATTTCAATTTTTTTACACGATTACAATTTCCTCTACACTCCGTATACGAGAAAGTAACAAGAGAACTTAAAATTGACATTAGGAATGCTACTGATTATACAGCTTTGTAATTTTTGACAATCACTTACTTAATACAAATCATTTACAAACACACATAAACACACACACACACACACACACACACACACACACACACACACACACACACACATATATATATATATATATATATATATATATATATATATATATATATATATATATATATATATATATATATATATATATATATATATATATATATATATAAGGACTGGGCAGGTGAGTGTGACCATTTAAAACTGTCAACAGCTCGAGTCCATGTTATGTGATGTAAATAACTTATTTTCCACAACTCATCCCATGCATAATTTTATCGACGCCTAGATGGGCGGTAGGCAAGAACGAAGCGCCGTTTCTTCACCGTGTTAGGAGTCTTTAGCGTTTATACCACTTTTGTTTACGGCATTCCTCCAACCTGCAGTGGGTCCATCTCCACGCCAGCCATTAATTTGTGTCTTGGTCTGCCTGTACGTTGTTTTCCTTTGGTGTTTCGGTATACACCCAGTGTTTCAAGTATACAAAATGTATATAGAAAATATATACTTACAAGTCCCCCCTCCCCTGGATGGATGTGTGTCCGCAGCTTTAAGTCGTATCTCTTCCTCAACGAAGCAATATCGAGGACTTGTTCCAAAGCAAATATGTTAAGCAAGTTCCGAGGATGATTGTGGGCCAAAAAAATTCCCGGAATTCCTTCCTGGATTTCCCGGAAAAGCCAAAAAAACCTCGAAAAAATGCAGTTTTTGGTCCATATCTCGGCAACCAGACCACTTAGCGACTTGAAACATTTACCAATCGATTCCTGCCATAATTTAGAACAATATTGCCGAAGAAAGTTTTCAAAAATATCCTTTCGTTCGGTCACAAAAAATTAATTAAGGAAATTGCGCTTAAATTGTCACTAGACTTTTTATTAACTTGTTTTTTTAATTTCTTCCACGATTGTAGCCTCTGTTTCATATAGCTTATGGTTGTTAAATGTTCTCTATTCATGTTCTTCCTGCGTTAGTCCGTTTATTTTTCGAAGTATATGGACCGTCAACCCCAGGAATTAGTTTTTGTCTAACACAAAGTGAATCCAGTTCACATTTTAATGTGTGGACGTATCTGGTATTGTCATGTCAATCAGTGTCCAGAAAACTTATATCTCTGAGATTTAATTACTTTAATTTTTTGTATTCTACAGATTATTGTTTTTGGATTAATCCGGACACAAGGCCAAGATGGCTACCAGACACGCAGAACAACGGATGTTGCCGGAGAGGGAACACGACAAACACCTCCTGGCTCATAGACACAAGGTAGGTGGCGTTTTTATGCAGGCTATTTTTATCATTAACTGATCATGGGGGTCATCCATAACTGGCGTTACGCTTTTTTTGACGATTTTTACCTCCCCCCCCCCCCTCCGTCACACATCGTCACAAAAAGCCAGACCCCCCACCTAAAATGACGTCACACCTCAGCATACAACCCTCCCCCCCCCCCCCTCAAAATTGCAGTTGAATCTTTCTTAAAACATCGATATTTTCCAAAATCATGTCTGACCTCTGCCAACATAGAGTATTTTAATCAATTCCTATTACAATTTATTAAAACTGCTTTCTAAAACGCGAAATAACGGCTAAAATTCGTTTTCTAACATTGCTTGTTTATAATGCAAAAGTGTGACGTCCTACCATCTGACCCCCCCTCCCCCTCATCACACACCGTCACAAAATTACAGAACCCCCTCCCCCCTACGGGTGTGACGTCATTTTTGGACGACCCCCCATGATGCGTTTTGTCTCTAAAAGACGCTACACATCTAGGTAAGTCAGTTCTCGTTTTTAACGATAAACTACGAGAGAATTTGGGGGTGAGTGGGGGTGTCTAAGAAATGTGATGTTACATATTTTTGGTAGCAAGGAAGTAAACATTGTTTATTAAAAAAATCATTTCAAATTCCATTATAATTATGGTTATAGAGAGAGGTGATTGGAGATTTGTGTGGTTTAAAAGTGGGGAGGTGCTTAATTCTGACTTTTTGTGAAGACACGTAGTTGTAGATAGTACAAATTGGCTATCACACTGTTTAAGGGCGCCTTATGCATCATTAAAACAAAACAAAAAACTCCTTAATGAGTGGTCATTAATGAAGTTTTTAAAAATATGCATGTTTAAGCAGTTGGACTCCTACCGATATACCGATATTGATCAAGGATTAAACATCATCGCTATTAGTTTATTCATACACTGCCATCTCACCTACATGTATTAAAACTGCATTAGGTATGGCGTGGCCTAGCGCGAGATAGCTAACCCGAAAGCCTCAAATTCGAATCCGGGTCCAAGCCAGTAATGATGATGGGCTCATAACTCGCGTTAGGGAAAATAAAGGCGGCTGGGCATCTTGCTGACCACGCTATGCCGACATCTCAGAAACAAACTCTACTTCATCTGCTCCATGTGTTCTGGACACGACCTGGAAAAGATGATGATTATCTGATTAATTTCCTTTACAACATGGACCCTCACCCCCCACACACGAACCCCTCCCATCAAGTGCTGCTTGTATCTTTAAAACATCGCTTGGCGAGTGAGCACTAAAATACAACAACAAAGTACTCGCCACTGCAAGATTATTCCCCTCTTTAAGGTGCCCCCCCCCCTCCCTTTCCGCACCCTCGCCAACTTCGGTACTGCGTGTTTATTGGAAATACGTCATCTCGCGAAAAAACACTCAACAACAAAAAACTTCAAGTAAGCCTCACTACGTGAACCCCACCCAACCCCTCACAAACATTCTCTCTATTCCGCCAACCTAATTAATACCCCTACTCCCATGGTTACTCAATAATAGAGAAACTGTTGACACTGCTCACCATAGTTCTATTTATAAAAGAACTCTAACACCTATTCATCGATTGGTTATCGATTATTGTTATGATCATCCATCCCCGCTCGGTACCTTACGCGCATGTAACGCACATAATGAAAGTTTTTGGCAAGTTACCGTGTCAATAATTTTTCTATTAGTCTACTGTAATCACAGTAGTCGTAGGCTAGAAAATTTAGCTATTGGCTTTTTATAGCAAGCTAATTAAGGAACGTTAACTCGCTACGTGAACTTTAAGAAGAGTTATCTCTCTTTTGAATTAAAAAAACGTGGATGAGTTATTTAAATGTGTAAAGATATTTGTTGCATTTTTTTAAAGTGTAGATAATTAAACACCCCTTCCTCTTATTAGCACAAGTATATAAATGTTTAATATGTTTTGATTCCACATAGTTAAGAGGATTATTTTTGACTTGACATTTATTATCTTTTCAATCAATTCAAAATACCCCCCCCCCCCCATCTAAATATTGTGGTTGAGTGCGTCCAATGTCGAGTACAATTATTTTTTCTGCAAATAACCGTAAACTGTTTTATTTTGACCTCATATAACCAGGGTTTCTTTCAGATATTTTTTCGGGGTGGAGCTCTTGAAAAATCCTTGGGGTGGGGGGGGGTGTTGCGGACTATTGTTAAGGTATTTAATAAAGATTACATTAAAAATCCAATATTTATTTTTCTATTTCGTCCTGGGGTATAGGACGTACTCCACCAACCCTCCGTCAAGAGATGCCTAAAAGAAGCTCTGCAAAAATCCATGCAGGCACCCACTGCCCGCCAATGTGGGATCCCTCCCCTCAAAGTTGTGTAACGTGCTTTGTGCACGCGCCAAATAGCCTCGCGGCGTAAAACTCAACAATAAAAATGTGCTTTAAAATACACAATTAAAAAATACTTGAAACAATTCTTGTTAATGAACATCAATGCCCAGCGCATTAAATCAATGCCGATTGTTTATTTTCCGCCTTGGGTTAATTATTTTCATCAGGCCAAGATTGCTAATTAATCACCGACCCCACATTAAAACGAACATCTCTGTATCCATAACACGGCAACTGAGAAACTCCATCCCAAGCTCGGAGATTGTCACGCAAACGTCACTGACGAGGGAATCTATATTTAGATCGCGTGGTGATTGTGTGTGAGGGGGCGGGGTTGGTTACTGGTTTGTTTCACATTGACGCTTCGGTTCATTCATTTTGAAGTGTGTTTACATTTTTAACAGCCTATGTACTATGTACTCTTACCAGGCTCGTCTTTTTATTATAAAAGTATTTGTTTGTTTTTTTTTTGTTTTTTTTTGTTTGAAAGTTTTACACGGCCATAGTAACGGAAGATATATAGCGAGTCCCCGAAAAATGCTTTGTTCGATTACATACGTTTATTGTACCTGTTCATCTGTTGACTAGGTCGGTACAGTGGTCTAGCAAATGGGTATGGTGTGTATGTGGGGGGGGGGGTTCACCCTGGTCACGTCTTTTAAAAAACTGCGTCCATTTTCTATATCAGGGGACAGCAAACCATCTAGAAGAGAAAACTCCATATATAAGCTGAAATCGGAGTCAGTGGCCTATATGGCGCATAACAAATTGACACGTAATACTTAATTGTGTTTGAAAGGAATACTGTTCAACATTACAGTTAAGAACGAAGATGAGGAAAGAGATAATCAAACCAACGCTTAGCCTAGCCAAGTAATGATGGCACCTAGATCTAGACCCGTGTTTCTTCCAGACTTTTTTTCTCCGTGGGGGGGGGGGGGCACTTGAAATTTTGGGGGGGGGGGCGGTAAACATTTTTGGAGGGGGGGGGGGGTCGGACACTAGTAAAAGTGTATGTTTATTTTATAAAATCCATACTCGAGACTTTCGTGTTTGCTATCTAAAGCACTAGTCCTCGACCAAGTAACTTCCAAGCATTATTTAAGAGTTTATAAAAAAGGTTTTTTTTATAAATCACGATGAACTTCTCATCAATTGATCGATTATCGACTGTTACGTGAATTCGATCTATATGAGAAAGTTTTGACCTAGTGACCTAGTTTCTGCAACATCTTCTGTTAGAAATGAAGGCCGCCGGATTCATTTATTTCTTTGAAGATAAAAGTACGATACACCGTATACAACCTAATCACAATTTTACCACTTAGTTGTTAGGTTAGCTTAACATTTCAAGGTTTATCCACTTGTTAACCCTCCCGTGATAACAGCTGGGTAGTGTAGCTATAAAATAAAACTGTATATTTTTTTAAATGGTCACTTCTGCTAATCTAAAAAAAACTGTATATTTTTTTTAAAAGTGATCACTTCTGCTAATCTAATCCGCACGTGTCGCTCATAAATGAAGAGGAAAATAAGTTGTTCTTTTTAAAGATGGTTTTCACCGTCCAGACCTACAGTCTAGTGTTGTATATAGGCTGTATTTTGATGGTCTTGAGATCCATCTTGTCTGTCCGTCTACGTAGCTCACATCACGTAAAGGTAAAGCCTATTTAAGTTTAAGAATACTGCATAGACAAGGTAGAAAACACAAAACTATGGAAGATGTGCGGACAGAAAACAATAGAAAGTCCTGGAGAGGAAATGGCGATGTCGTGGACACACGCGAATGAAAGACGCTGGCAGTAGAGCCAGTCTGGACCTGGAATGGAACCCTCAGGGCAAGAATGTTGGGGTCGACTCAGGAACACATGGACGTAGGGGTCGACCCAGGAAGACATGACGACGTAGGGGTCGACCCAAGAAGAGATGGCGACGTAGGGGTCGACCCAGGAAGACTTGGCGACGTAGGGGTCGACCCAGGAAGACATGTGACGTAGGGGTCGACCCAGGAAGACATGACGACGTAGGGAAGCCAGGGATAGGAAAGAATTGGGAACAGCTGAAGGTAGTGGTAGGAGACGGTGGGGAATGGGAAGCTTTGACAGAAGGCCCCACTATTTTTCACAAGGAACTAGGGGTCGACCCAGGAAGACATGGCGACGCAGGGGTCGACCCAGGAAGAGATGGCGACGTAGGGGTCGACCCAGAAAGGAATGGCGACGTAGGGGTCGACCCAGGAAGACATGGACGTAGGGGTCGACCCAGGAAGAGATGGCGACGTAGGGGTCGACCCAGGAAGACATGGCGACGCAGGGGTCGACCCAAGAAGAGATGGCGACGTAGGGGTCGACCCAGGAAGACATGACGACGTAGGGGTCGACCCAAGAAGAGATGGCGACGTAGGGGTCGACCCAGGAAGACATGACGACGTAGGGAAGCCAAGGGATAGGAAAGAATTGGGAACAGCTGAAGGTAGTGGTAGGAGACGGTGGGGAGTGGGTAGCTTTGACAGAAGGCCCCACTATTTTTCACAAGGAACTAAAAGGAAAAATGATGATGATGAAATATATTTCATACTCTATATACTATACTTTTCATATTTACGATCCGGGTAAGGATGGACTAAGCTTAAATAAAGTTTTACACGGCTGTGGAACGGGTGGATTATCTTTGACTAACACCCCTGGCCAAAAATAATAATGGGCATGTGGCGAGACTATTGAGACAAAGTGCCTTATTGTCATAACTCTCAGACATTTTGGGGCTCCTAAAATATGGGACCTCTGCTGCCCATATAACCATTCTCTGGTGCTGGGCAAATAGAAGAATATAAAACCAAATACCCGCAGTAAAATTTGCATAGCTTGAAAACATTATTCGAGTTTCTTCAAATGTATTTTAACAGTGAGATCATTGTACATTTTACAGCACAAATTATACCTTATATTTCGCTGCAAGAGTTTATGAAGTTACGAATCTGATGCCTCCTCCTCCTCCAAACACCCCCTCCCAATCACATCGAACATACAAGATTATGCGAGCTTCGATTATCGATTATCTAACCCTTTACTACAAATACCAATCCCGCCATTAACTATTGATACATCGTCGAAGGAACAACAAATAAAAATATGGAGGCGAGACGACAGCACGCAACTTCACACTTGGGAGCTGTGTGTCTGTGTGGGGGAGAATGTTGACACACGTCTTGTTTGATCTTAGTGCTCGTAATACTTTGTCTATACTTTGTTCTGCAACTTCACACACAGTTTCTTTCAGGCATCTCGTCTAAACACGTCTACCACCCGCCCACCCCTCCCCCTGAACGAAATAGAATTTATATTGAAAATATCTAATTTTACCAGTGTCCTCCCTTACAAAGAAATTTTTTTTTTAAAATTAGTCCGCCACCCTTCTTTCCCCACCCCCACACGGAGAAAAAAGTCTGAAGGAAACATTGTTCACAAGTGGGAATTGTGTGGTTGTGAACGTGGGGAGAATGTTGACACACGGCTAGATTGTTCTAGTAAAACTTTGTCTATACTTTTTCTACTTTAAAATTCATTCGTGAACTCTATTGTGCCATCTACTGATGTTATAAAGTACTGTACCACGAATAGTGAAAGATGTATATTCATATAATCCATTTATGGGATCCATTGGATTTCATACGCGCCTTGTACCACTTACTCCCCCTTACGTCTAAGATGGCCAATCATAAAACAGAATAATTTACGTGCAGACAAACTTTAACCAACGTGGAGGAGGCTGGGAGATAAGGAGGGGGGGGGGGGGGTGACACCCGTGCATAAAATTGTTAGTTTTGAATAGAAAACTGTTAAATAAAGCAGAAAGCAATGCATAACACCGGTCACCATGGGCAGGTTGGGGTGACACACTGAGTAACCGCACCCGGTGACACCCGACCAAGTGAAACAATTCAGAAATACGTGTTAGTTTTTGCCTCTGTGTAAATGTTCATTTGTTTTGGCTGGTATTTTTTTACCTTGAACACACAAGATTTTGTAATAAAATATTGTTTGGTGTCAACTACCCATATTGGTTTTCTTAGCGTCGTCTCCTGGTATTAGAGCCTACATCCTGCAACTTGGTCTGCCCTTTTTGCTGTTATATTGGTGACTAGCTGCAGGCAGTGGCGTAGGCAGGATTTAGTCACTAGGAGAGGTGGGGTGGAGGAGGGGGAAAATATTTTATACATCCACAGTTCCACTATATATATATTATGTATATGTATATATATATATATATATATATATATATATATATATATATATATATATATATATATATATATATATATATATATATATATATATATATATATATATATATATATATATATACATATATATGTATATATATATATATATATATATATATATATATATATATATATATATATACATATATGTATGTTATATATATTTATGTTATTTATATATACAAATATATATATATATATATATATATATATATATATATATATATATATAGACAGACAGACACACAGACAGTCAAAACTGTTAAAAATCTTTTTTTTTCAGATGCAGAGAATGAAGCCACAGGTTGACACGACCTCCCCACCCACCTACATGCACCTTGAGCTGAGACAGAAGCAGCTACAGGTAAGTTGTCCGTCTGCTAAATATGTACACGTGTACCAGAGGGTCGCCTAAGCTACCAGAGGTGTGTTTACAGTAGGTCTATTTTAAATATGTCGAGGATAACAGATTTTTTTTTTTAGAAAAATGCGTGTACAATTTTTTTTTTCGGCTACATATTACAACTAAAATAAACATAATAAAACATTAAGTTATAGACCATAAAATAGATGACAAAATTTGCATGAAGAGGGAAAAAAAGAAAATCTCTTATCAATTTTATAAACGAAAATAAAGTTGTTGTTTTATATTGAGGTCTGGGCTGTGGTAAAGAAGAAAAGAACAAATATGCATTATTAGAACAGTGATATGACTTTTGTTTAGGGTTTAAAAGTTGACAAATTACATCGGCCCATATAATATCATCGAGAAACCATTTTGGTCATTTCACTCGCCTAGACTACCGAAAATAGACACCCTCTGGAAAGATATGACATAAAGTTTCAATATTGTATTTTATTTTTATTTTTAAATTATTTCGCTTATTTTCCTATGCATTTTTAATACTAACATCACTGCACCATTTGACACACATCTTTCAGTATCTGATTTTATTTAGTTACCAGTCCACAAAGGCGTTTAGCTCTATGTTTTACATTCATATCAAGGAGTTTGATTTGTTATTGGGTTGTTTTTTTTTTACTTTTTTTTTAAAGCTATATCTGTGTTAATTATTGTATTTAATTACTTTTCATTTTGACCATCTCAAACGACACACACTTACATTCACCAAGGTGACTATGATATATATTAATCAACAAAACACGCTATAAAATAGTATAAAATGTAAACAAATTGTGAAGAAAGAAAAAACGGATTTTCCCAGTCCTCCGTATCCAAGCCAATAAAAAAATATTATTGGATTGCCGTTCTTGTTCACTTCTCTCCCCTTGTTTACTCTGTGCTGTTTGCCACAGTGTGTGTCATGCGCAAACATAGATTCGCCTGTACGTTCACATCGAACTATCGAACCACTTTTTTAAAATAGAAAATAAAAAGTCAGACCCACCATTGAATTTATTGGCCCCCTTTTTTCCCATGCTTAAACTGGACTTAATATTTAACGTTGAGCAGTTTTTAACCACCCCCCCCCCCCCCCCCCGCTTTCGATTGACAGTTTGAAAAAAAAATCGTTAATTACCATGTCCAATAGGTATGTCTAACAACCACGCCCAAATGGATCCCATATTTTATTATATATATATATATATATATATATATATATATATATATATATATATATATATATATATATATATATATATATAAAGCCTTTATATTTTGATATTGTAATGAGATCACTTTATGTGCCCCTCCTCCTACCCCCAACATTTAAAATGTTCCTTTGCTACTGTAAATCGTAAAAGACAAAAAAAAAACCGTTGTCATTTATGGATGGTGCCGAAATGGATGGATATCCAGATGCTGGCTTCTAGCCTCACTGTTTTTATCCTGTGTCCCTCCACACTATACACTATACTATGTTGGGTGGTGATCCATAAATGACGTCACGATATTTTTGACGATTTTTACCTCCTCCCCCTCCTCCACAAAAAGCTAGACACCTCCTCTGAAATTACGTCATACCTCAGCCTACAACCACCCCTTTAAAAGTAAAGTTTCCCTTTCAAACCTGACGGTCTATGGGGCAAGTGAAGTAGAGTTCACTTGTTTCTGTGACCTCGGCATATGAAGGGATAGTGTGGTCAGCACAATGCCCAGCCGCCTTTACTTTCTCTAACGTGAGTTAGATACCCATCAGAGTTGGGTGGACTCAGGAACTCGAGACTTACGGGTTAGCAATCCAGCTCTCTACCGCTAGACCACTCCGTCCCTTCACCCCCCCCCCCCTTAAAACTGCAGTTGAATTTTTCTTAAAACATCGAGTTTTTTGCCAAAATATTGACTGAACTCATTCAACATAGAGTGTTTTAATCAATTCCTATTTCGTCTATTATGAAAACAGTTTTCTGAAACGTGAAATAACGGCTAAATTTTTTTAAACATTACTTTATTTACAATGCCAAAGTGTGACGTCATGCTTTCAGAACACTCCCTGCCCCTCCCTCCTCATCACACTGTCACAAAATTACGGAACCCCCCCCCCCCTCCTCCCCCTTACTAGTGTGTCATTTATGGACGACCCCTTTGTAAAAAAAACAACCAACAACAACTTCACAGATGGACCTAGAACGAAAAACGGCGATAGACAGAGAGAACCAGATCTTGTTGCAGCGAATGTCGAACATCATGGCGAAAAGCGACGACCAGTTCCACAGGAAGGACCAGCGGAGAAGCAAGAGGTAGTCACCCTGGAAAAACAAGCGCGATTGATGTTTTTGTAGAGTAGCCGCCCTTATCTAACTACCTTACAGATTAAAAAAAAAACTGAAGCGATGATGCTGATGATTAAATTAACCTTGTTTAATTTTCTTCTTTTTTTGAGCGAAATAAGTCTCGATAAATACGATTATATTTTTAGACACATCATCACGTGTAAATAGGGTTTGCCAATAATCTCTTATCACTCATCTATATTGTTATTAAAGCGTAATTAATATGCAGTTTTAATTAATTACCGTGTATTTGTATTGAATGCAGAGTATATTAAATTATTAGCCTATTAGTATTAAAGGACCTAATGATTCTAGATCTAGGATTTTCTTTAAAATTAAACATAAAAGTGTTGATACTCGATCTGCTCATTTATGTTATAATATCAATAGAATACCAGGAATCCATTGCTTTCATTATCTACATCATAGATCGTCTTTAATCGTGCTTATAACTATTAAAAATAAGTTCCATTTATTTAGGTTAGCACTAGAGTTACGGGCCTTGAATAATAGATATTAGCATGGTACGCGTTAACTAAACAAAAAATGCGACATTATATTTTACTAATGTAGTTTATCGTAAAATTAGTCTAAAACTCGAACAACGCCAGATATTTTACTAATGTAGTTTACCATAAATATAGTCTAAACCTCGAACAACGCCAGAAAGAGCATGATCGACTACAGAAGGACAACATAAAAGTTGCCAATAGAATCGAGGACACCAAGCCTATTTACAGTGTTGACAAATGGGTAAAAAGTTATTCTTCATATTGGTAGATCTATGTTGAATGTGGAGCTATTTATGTTTTTTGGGGTTTTCTTTTGTGGTGCACATTTTATTTTTACATCAGTGTTTTTTCACCATGACCACGTTTTAAATTTTTAAATTAGGTTTGAGCATCTAAACTATTTGAAGACATTAATATTATTACTAATACTAATTGTTGCATTACTTAAAAAAAAACACAATAATTATTCACAAAAAGAAGTTTTAAAATTTAAGTGCACTAGTACCTTGTTAGTTAATCATGTTTGAAAAGTAGCACAGTGTTCTGAAAAATAATTTTAACAATTAATAGAATTTAATAGTGTTAAGAATTTTCTTTTCAACTGTATAGAATATGAATAACAATAATGGCACCATACAAGCAATGGCACTGCAGTTCTTGAAAAATTGTATTTGTGTTTTAATAATACATGTTGAAAACTAGTGTGAGTGAAGTTTAAACAAAGCCACTTTGTGGACTGGTAGGAATACCAAGCCAATAACAAACTCAAATATTTAAAGCATGGTTGCAAAAAATAAAACTTTATCTAAAATAACATCACATTTCAGCCTTTCCCACCCCTCTTCACTCCCACCAAGATCAAATTTTATATATATATATATATATATATATATATATATATATATATAATTTATGTTCTTTCTTAAATATCAACAGTCAACATTGTGCATGCTGATCAACTTTTATTGCAATTTACAACGTCTTTACAAAATGCAAAGTAACTGTTAAATTCTGTTTCCAAAATTACTATTGAAAATAAAAATACAAGTGTGATGACCCTTCCCCCCCCCCCCCCAACCACGCCCTCTTCCTCCCAAGCCCTTGTCACAAGTCCAAACCTCTCCTTTAAGAGTGTGATGTCATTTAAGTATAACCCTTTAGACTATGTATTCAATATTCTGTGATATTACAGAAGATAATAACCACAAGTTATACATTTACCAAGAGTTAATTCCCCTCGCTGTATTAAATTCCACCTTTGCTTTATTTAAATAACAATTACTTTGTTAGTTATTAGGCCTAGTTGGTAATTCTATACTCAATATAAATGTGCTTTTATATTTGTAATATTACTTTTAACACCAGAGTTGCACTCTAACATTTGTATTAAGTATAAACATAACATAATATAACTCATTTGACTAGATTTGCCTTATCCAAAATATAGACCTCTACAATAGTTAAAATAGATTTATATTCTAAAGGATATAATCCTTGCAAGTTTTTAGTACAGAAAGAATGTTGGACACACAAAGTCACTTAATAACATTTAAAACAGATATTGTTTCGAAGTCCTAAAATGTATGCTGAAAGAATTGGGCCAAAAACCTTGATTTTGTTATAACACATTTTTTAACAATAGTAATAAATCCTAAAAACTCAGTGGAACTTTTTATTTAAGTTTACATACTATTTTTTGAGAAAACGGGGGTAGGGAAGGCACCCAGATTTATGGGGTTTTAATAGACAATATGTTTGGAAACCACAGATATAATCTTATTGAAAAAACTTTTTTTTCATTTAATTTTGACAAATATAATTTTAGTCAACTACTGGAGAATGGTCTTGAACTTTGTGACTAGCATGTTAGCTCATTTATTTTAGCAATTCGGTTTAAATTTTAAATATGGCATGCATTACTGGTCATTGAGTGATTTTATTGTAAATTTATAAAGGAAGAAGATTACAAACACAAGCAGCAACTAATGGAATCCTGGAAGAAAACAAAACAAGGTGGTCAGTCCAAAAGAAATGGAAAGCCAGGGGTAAGGGGACATTTAAAAGAAAAATTCTATCTCATATTCTTTAAGAGTATTTTCTGTCTAAAAAATACTTTCAATTTTAGTCATTCCAATCCTTTATGATAGTAATGTTACTCTGTTTATACATACATATATATATATATATATATATATATATATATATATATATATATATATATATATATATATATATATATATATATATATATATATATATATATATATATATATATACTATGTGGTTTTTAAAAGGAAACTTAATTTAAAAACTTCATATCATTCCTGTTGATTGTAGTTCTATAAACAATTATTTCTGTTGATTTATGATTTTTTTGTACCAGAAAAAAATGAACCATACAGACCAGGAAGACTCTGACACAACAGACAGTGATGAAGAAGATGCTGAAAGACGAAAGGGAGACAAGCTGCCACCCATCAAAAGTGTAGGTATTAATATTGAAAAAATAAAAGTTCGGTGGTTTAGATTAATGTTTAACTGTTTAGTTTTAGGATGTTTGGATCTAGTTGGAAATACTTGAGACTTTTCTCATTATGTTTGAGTAACAGCCTCTCTAATAACTGATGACGAATGGCCAAAAGGGGACATAATTTAACTGCTTGAGCTCCTCGAATGCTGAAACTTAAAATAAAAAATGTACTTGTAGATTAACACTGAAATCCAGTATACAAAAAGATAAATTAAATTAGAGTTAGAAAATATTACAGAAATTGGTAGCGAATAATTAATTTTTTAAACAATAATAAATAACAATATTTCTAATAAACACCACAATTTAATAAAAAAACTAATTAACTATGTGAGTTAAAAGCAATAGTTAATATCATTGGGTGGAAGGTAAATGTGTGCTTTTTTGTTTAAATTCTGATAGTCACCTATTTTAATTTAACCCTTTAGAATTGTTCTCTCTTTGATTTTTGTACATATTAAAATTAGCTCCATCAGGTACTTCCATTATGTAAATAATTATTACCTTACAACTTGTATGTAAATTTTGTCACTGTAAAATTTTTGATTGCCTTTACAGACTGCTGTAATTTGTTTTATTGAAAATAAAAGTATTAAAAAAAAAGTTCTGATAGATGGAATTGTATTTACTTTTCATGGTGTAAATCAAGTACAGTGTATGAAAATGTGGTGCAGTTCCTATTGATGATAAGACATATATATGAATACTATGTTTATTTGGTTGTTGTATACAAGTATATATTTGTTTACATTTATGACCTGACATGATTTAAAGGCGCAGCCAAACCCAAGAAAATCCAGCTCACAGCCTGCGACCGCCAGGGGGAGGAGCAGACCTGACACAGCACGCAGTGATGGGGCTCACACCCCACGGCGCTCCACCCCCGCACAAAGGCCCCCACCTAAAAGTCCAGAGGTAAGTCTGTAAAAAATATACTTAAAGGAGAGAGTATCTGTTCGTTTGCTTTAACTTCAACTAAAACATTACATCTAGATATTTGATCAGAATGTCATATTACCTATTTAAAATAAGAGTATTACATGATTCCATTCTTTTAGACCCAGTATGGCAGTACAACAGATTTTTTTAAATTTCACTATTTCAATTTATCTTTTTTATGTCACAAAGGGAGAAGCACTTTTTCTCATTATTTTTAAAAAAACAAACATTTTTTTTGTAGTTTAAAGACCTATGTTAGTTATCTATATATATAATTCTCTTCATGGGTACCTTGACGGATACCACCAAGACATAAGTGCGCCAGCAGCCCCCTCTCTTCCTCTCTAGGCATAGTGCTACCACCCCCACCAGTCTGGGTGAAGGGGGGTTATTGTCCTTAACGAGCTACTGATAGTGTTTTAAAGCAAATATTTTCAGTGGCAGCATTGGTAGTGTCAAATTCACAAATTATGAATTACTGAAAAGTAGAAAATAAAACAACTAAATAGGGGCGTATGCTATGCCGCTGGTCGGCTCGTTAAACAAACAATTTAAAAACGAAAAATTAGTTTTAAAAAAAACTTGCGTTTATTAATTGTGTTGACATTTTTTTTTTACATAACCTTATAAGCCATTGTTTAACATGGTTGGAGACACTGTCTACTTACTGTAAGCACAAACAGCTTCAGCGTATTGCTTGGGACACTCCTCCTGAACAGTTTTTGTGGCTGGTTTCCCCTTGTTGAGCTGCTTGTAGTGGTTGAACACATTATTCATATGCGCCACAGTTCTCACCTCAACCCAGTGGCGTAGGCAGGGTGGGGTTAGTGGGGGTCATAACCCCCCCCTCTCATAGACCCCTCAGTATAGATATATAAAGTATGAGGGGGGGGTGTAAATTGAAAGTTTGAGGGGGGGTGCAAATCGAAAGTTTGAGGGGGGGTGCAAATTTTGAACCCCCCCTTGAGACGATCCTGGCTACGCCACTGCCTCAACCAGATTTATAAACTTTCCTAACTAATCCAAATTGTGCACCATCTGCAGAGAGATCTGTGGATGTATTACGGGAGAAGACCTGAAGGCTCTGATGATGAATCTCCTTACATGCACCCTAAGGACAGGGAAGAGAAAAGGAAGCAATCAGAAGGGGTACATTTTTTATATATTTTTATTTGTTCCGTATAAGATAAACTTATAGAAAGCATGTTTTTAAATAACTTCTAAAGACATGCAAATTATACTGCCTTCTTTTCCCCCTATTCAATCATAAATTCTCCTCCCTCACCCCCATTTAGCTTCATTTTTAGTCTCATGTTTTTTCACTCACTAAATGTCATTAATTTTTGCTCTAATTTAATCCAGAAAAAGACAGCAGATAAACAAGCTGAAAATGATGCAAGACAATTACGTAAAGTGGCCAAGAGAATGGGTAATCAACATTTCTGTTAAAATTTGTTCTCATAATTTAGGCTACATAATTACAATGACTGGAAAGAAGTGCATGGGAAAACTGTGCAAAATAAAACAGTTCACAAAAAAGTGCACAAGGGCATTTTTTTTGTTTTCTTAAATAATGCATTTATAGACATTAACAAAAAATGACCACATGTAGGCCTACTTTGTGGCATCACAAAATATGACAAAAATAAAGTGTGTTAGTATAATAAGTTTGTATTTGGGCACTTTTCTGTTTGCACAGTTTTGTGGGAACCATTATATACACTGTGCATTTAGCCTTTATTTTACCTATCCTATAATGTAGTTGTGCTACAGTTTGTAATACCCTGCAGTAGTTTAAACCCACAATTAAATTTAGTATTTTAAAAACAATTGTTTCAGCTCCACCTCATGACATCATTATAAGGACTTTGGCCAAGAAATCATACAGACACAGAATGAAAGTGAAGGAAAAATACAAAGAGCAATATGAAACTGTTAGTTTTTATTTTTTTATTTTCACAAAACCAAATAGTTTTCAAAACAGTAAGAAAAAATGTATTTCCTTTTTTATAATTTAGATGGTTTTCACTAAAGTTGTTGAAAAAAAATATACATAATTGTGTAGTTCTCAATACTTTCAGTTTTTTTTTTTAATATTAAAAAAAAATAGTAATTGACATAAATATTTTTACTTAAAATTTATTTTTTCTAGGAATTAAGTGATGATCTTAAAACAGGTCTTGGCGGAGAATGGAATCTTCTTGTTGATTCCCTGTTAAATGATGTTAGCGCTGGGCATGGAAAAAGCACCAGCAAAAATCTAAAAGTATGATCAGTTGTTTTATTTAAATCATTTATATACCTCTAACAATATTTGCAACAATATATATATATATATATATATATATATATATATATATATATATATATATATATATATATATATATATATATATATATATATATATATATATATATATACATATATTGTACAATATGTTCTACTTGCCTTAAGTATTTAAATAATTTCAAATATTTATTTTTCTTACAAGGGAGGTGATGCAGTTGCTTTTGTGAAAAAAGTAACACCACTTTCAAAACAAGAAATAAGTAGCCTGAAAGAAGACTATGAAAAAGGTAGCTCAGAGAGCATAAATAATTTACACCATAAAAATTATCAGCTAGGGCTTATTTAAAGTTTAGATTATTTTTCTAAATTATTTAAACTTTTAAAAATATACCTGTTAATTTTTAAAATAGTCAAACAGTTTTTTTTCTGTTTTAGAAAACTCAACCAGCATTGAAAGTGATATCACAGAGAACTTCAAAAATCCAACACAACTCTTCCTGCTTACATTAGTGAAGGGCAACAAGAAGGAGAGATCCACTAAAGAGGATGTAGTCAAAGATGCCAAAGATCTTTTTGAAGTAAAAAAAAACTCTTATTTTCAATGTAAATTATCTTAATTTTGACAACCAGCTGGGCTATTTTTGCATGCTTTTTACAATTCACGATCTCATTCTTGTTAAAATATGGATCAGAAAAATACCCAAAGCATTTCAACTGTTGGAAGAGGTCAATATGTCATTGTACATAAACAGTCTTAATGAGAATACATGATTTGATAAATACAAATTACTTAAGTGGTTCTATTCCAGTCTATATTTTATCTTGAACTGAATTTCCATTCTATTATTTTTTTTTAAGTATGATTCTATCATGTTACTAAAGGATATTTAGTTGATTCATTTGTTTAGTACTTTTACTTTGTAGGCTTTCCATTGATGGCAACCATAAATCTTTTAGGTACTATAAGCAAGGGTTAAAATGTTTGGTTTACAAATAAAGTAGATAAGGTGTTGTAAAACAGGAACAAGTTTAAGAATTGGAATAAATTTTTTTAATAATTATGAAGGACTGTATCCCAATTTAAAAATTAAACAATTGAGTCAGATAATTACAAAATAATTACTGTTATAATTATTCATAAAGTCAATTTTCACTTTTTTTTTTTAGGCTGAAGATAACCCTTGGACCACAAAAAAAGGAAAGTTTATAAATCTGGTTGAGGTGAGAACTGTGGCGCATATGAATAATGTATTCAACCACTACAAGCAGCTCAACAAGGGGAAACCAGCCACAAAAACTGTTCAGGAGGAGTGTCCCAAGCAATACGCTGAAGCTGTTTGTGCTTACAGTAAGTAGACAGCGTCTCCAACCATGTTAAACAATGGATTATAAGGTTATGTAAAAAAATGTCAACACAATTAATAAACGCAAGTTTTTTTTTAGAACTAATTTTATATTGTAACAGAAATTTAACTTGAATTGTTTAATACTTTTTGCCATATTTAAATTTAAATCAAACTCAGAGAATTAAAAACAAGTAAAGATTACTTTTTAGACCTAATGATCCATTGGGCAGATGAAGCAGAGTTCATGTTTCTTGACCTCGACATATGAAGGGATGGTGTGGTCAGCACTATGCCCAGCCGCCTTTACTTTCCCCAATGTAAGCCAGGTACCCATCAGAGCTGGATGGACTCAGGGATGTCCCACAGTTGCAAGTTGAAACTACGATCCGAAGTTGCGGCTAGCTGTTAAACATTCTATTCAACTACTCCTCCCTACTTTCTTATTTATAATGGTTTTATTCTCCCTAACTCGAGTGAGTTACTTGTTCAACTGGATGCAATCAGGAACATCCTATGGACTTGAGTTTGGAAACTGACTTTAAGACATTTTGAGATAGCAATCGTGCATTATAGCACTCAACTACACTGTCCCAAATAGGCAGCTGGGCTTAAGAATCAACCGCACAATCTTTACATAGAATGTTTTAAGAAAGTTTTTTTTTTAATTTCTACAGTTAACAGCACAGAGTCAGCAGGCACTGAGCAAGCTGACCACCTGCATAAAAACTTGGACCCAACCAATCCAGAATTTGTAAAAACTGTCATCGCCAAGTCAGAGGTAAAGGATTTTTTAAAGTATTTGATGCTAGAATTTTGTAGAAAACAGGAAGATGATTGAATTGCCATTTTGTTTGTTAGAAACTTAACATTATTAATGTAAGAAAGAGAAAGCTTGTCAACAACACATGACATATATATTGTTCCTAAATATTAATGCTTTATTTTTACTTCATTATGTTTTGTCTTAAAAAAGTTGGGTTAGTAAATTCCATTTTGTGCTGAAATACTGAAACAAAACTCCTATAAATGTATAAATAATTTTAAAAGTTTGAAATATTTTTTGTCCACATTAATTATTGGTGTTATTTTATTCAATATGGGTTTATAATTAAAGTATTTATTTATATATCAAGCAATTAAATTGTAAAACACTCCTAAACACTTCACAATATGATTTAGGAAAAATTAGAAAAGTTCACATGAACCATCTTTTATGATTTCAAAGGTATTTCAAGTGTGGCTTTATATTATTGTGTTAACTGTACAATTTTAGATCTAATAAATTGTAATATTTTTAAAAATGAAACCAATAATCTCAAACATTATACAGAATGACTTGCCAAAAATCAGAAAAGTTTACAAAAAGAAATACGGCAATGAAATTGCTGATGACCTAGAGGAGCGTAGCAACCACACCACAGTTGGAGTTCTAAGAGCAATCATCACCAAGGATCCACCCAAACCAAAGGTAGTCATGTTGCTCTATTGGACCCACATAAATATATGTGTTATTGCTTTATAGTGTCCTTAAGTGTGTAGTTGTCACCACCCACCCCAGATAATCAAGGGTAGCCATTCTTTCTTTATTGGGCCCATATATTACATTTGTTGCTGTATAGTGCCTTAAAACTATATTATTCACTGTCACCCCACAAAACCAAAGGCAGCCATGTTGATTTATAATGCCCATTCCCCACTCTAAACCAAAATAGTTATATGTTTCATTGTCCTTATAATTATAAAAAGCCTTTATTATGATCTTTAAATTTTCTTATAAAATTAATTGCAGCTCTTGCTCCAAAGAAATTTATAAAATATTTTAGTTTTTAGGTAATGAAATGTAAAAATAGCAGGTACTAAAATAAATCTTATCCTAACTAAATAGCACTATTAAATCAAGTAAAGATTTTGTGAATAGTATTAATGAAATTAAACAATTTGCTAGTTCTAGTGTTGTATTTCAAAATCCAGTTTAAGTTAAGACTTTGTAAGCTTCAGAAAAAATACTGTAAAAAAAATTGCAATTGAAGACCTAAAAGTATTTGAGTCACAAAATACTCATTTGAGATAATGGAGATAAATTCAAACTGACAATGAAATCAGGCACTCTGGAATAGAGTACTTTTTAAAAATAAAATATAAATGCTTTGGCTCATTTGTAGCAATTATTAAAAACATTGTATTAATAATTTATTTTTCATAGATTACTTAGTTAACACCTTTTGTGAATTTGCATTGAATTTTAAACAATATCTTATTTAAGTAGGGCCTACTTCATTTTGTAAAACATTGTATTTTAATATTCACTGAATTGATTCCCATAGTATCTAATTGTTTTATATTAATTTATCTTCTGTCAAATCTACAGAAAGAAAAGAAAGATGAAAAAAAAGAAAAATCAAAAGCCAAAAAGGCAAATAAATCAGATGATGAGAAATCTTCTGATGATGACAAATCCCACAAAGAAAGTGACAGTGAAGATGATAAAAAGAAGAAGGAACATAAAGACAAAAATAAGAAGAAAGAGGATTCTTCTAGTGATAGCGATGATGATAAAAAGAAAAAAGACCACAAGCAACCAGCCAAAAAAACCAAGGAAGCTGACAAAGAAGTAGTTGTAAAGAAAGAAGAAAAACAGGTTGTTAAAAAGGATGACAAGAAAAAGGATGACAAAAAAGATAGTGATTCTTCAAGTGATAGCGATGATGATAAAAAGAAAAAAGATCATAAGCAACCAGCAAAAACAACTAAAGAAGCTGACAAAAAAGTAGTTGTAAAGAAAGAAGAAAAACAGGTTGTTAAAAAGGATGAAAAACAGGTTGTTAAGAAAGATGAAAAGCAAGTTGTCAAAAAAGATGAAAAGAAAAAAGATGACAAAAAAGATAGTGATTCTTCTAGTGATAGCGATGATGATAAAAAGAAAAAAGATCATAAGCAACCAGTCAAAACAACTAAAGAAGCTGAGAAAAAAGTAGTTGTAAAGAAAGAAGAAAAACAGGTTGTTAAAAAGGATGAAAAACAGGTAGTCAAAAAAGATGAAAAGAAAAAGGATGACAAAAAAGATAGTGATTCTTCTAGTGATAGCGATGATGATAAAAAGAAAAAAGATCGTAAGCAACCAGCCAAAACAACTAAAGAAGTTGAGAAAAAAGTAGTTGTAAAGAAAGAAGAAAAACAGGTTGTTAAAAAGGATGAAAAACATGTTGTTAAAAAGGATGAAAAGCATGTCGTCAAAAAAGATGACAAAAAAGATAGTGATTCTTCTAGTGATAGCGATGATGATAAAAAGAAAAAAGATCACAAGCAACCGGCCAAAACAACTAAAGAAGCTGAGAAAAAAGTAGTTGTAAAGAAAGAAGAAAAACAGGTTGTTAAAAAAGATGAAAAGAAAAAAGATGAGAAAAAAGATATCAAAAAAGATAAAGACAGTGATTCTTCTAGTGATAGCGATGATGATAAAAAGAAAAAAAATCATAAGCAACCAACCAAAACAACTAAAGAAGCTGACAAAAAAGTAGTTGTAAAGAAAGAAGAAAAACAGGTTGTTAAAAAGGATGAAAAACAGGTTGTTAAAAAGGATGAAAAGCATGTCGTCAAAAAAGATGACAAAAAAGATAGTGATTCTTCTAGTGATAGCGATGATGATAAAAAGAAAAAAGATCATAAGCAACCAGTCAAAACAACTAAAGAAGCTGAGAAAAAAGTAGTTGTAAAGAAAGAAGAAAAACAGGTTGTTAAAAAGGATGAAAAACAGGTAGTCAAAAAAGATGAAAAGAAAAAGGATGTGAAAAAAGATAGTGATTCTTCTAGTGATAGCGATGATGATAAAAAGAAAAAAGATCATAAGCAACCAGCCAAAACAACTAAAGAAGCTGAGAAAAAAGTAGTCGTAAAGAAAGAGGAAAAACAGGTTGTTAAAAAAGATGAAAAGAAAAAAGATGAGAAAAAAGATGTCAAAAAAGATAAAGACAGTGATTCTTCAAGTGATAGCGATGATGATAAAAAGAAAAAAGATCACAAAGAAACTGCAAACACCAACAAAGAAGCTAATAAAAAGGATAATAAAGCAGATGAAAAGAAAGAAGTGAAAAAAGAAGAAAAGAAAGATGAAAAGAAGAAAGAAGAGAAAAAAGATGAGAAAAAGAAAGAAGAAAAGAAAGAAGAGAAAAAAGAAGAGAAGAACGATGACAAGATCAATGAAAATGATGAAGATGCTGTCAAACTGTACAAAGCCATGAAAGGACTTGGAACAAAAGAAGATGTCATTATTGAAGTCATTGTCAGGAACTCTAATGCCCAGAGGCAGACACTCAAGAAGAGATATGAGGAACTTTACAAAAAGGTAAATATTTCATTGATAACACAACAAGTAAATAATTTAAGTGAGTCTGTTGTAATTTAAATAATCTGTAATAAAATCACTTTGTTCAAATTATTTCTCATTATAAATTACATGTACCAATGTGTTGAGGATTAGATTGATCCTGCTTATAATCGATTTAACTCCTGCTAAAGTTGATTAGCATCTTGTTTAAGTGGTAAGGAAGAGAGTGCAAGATGTAGTGGCACTTAAGTTCACAAAACAAGAAATAAAATAAAACATGATTGTAGGCTACTACCTTGCCTTTGTTAAGGTGTGTAAACCATAGCATTACATTTTACCAAACCACCTTGCGTGCTGATTTTTATTGTCAAAAAAAAAATTTCTTTTGTTTTTTTTCTCTTTGAATAGGACCTGGTGAAAGACTTGGACTCAGAATTGAGTGGAAACTTCCGAGATACAATCCAGGGCCTAATGATGACTCCTGTTATGTTTGATGCCTACTCTTTGAACAAGGCTATGAAAGGTTTGGGTACGGATGAAGACACACTTGTGGATATTATCTGTGTCAAGTCACCTGCAGAACTGGAAGAAATCAAGAAAGTTTACAAGACAGGTAAAAATCACAATTAACTTGAGTTTTTTTTTAGACACAATAAGTCTACAATAATTTTTTTTTTAATCTATAAATAATCTACAGTTTTAAAAATGAAATACCAACTGCTTATGGACAGAGTAATGAATAACTGTTATTGAATAACATTAAATAGATATCAATATAAAGATCTAAATATAAATAAAAGTTTTTACTTAGGACTTGAGTATCTCAAAAGAAATATATTAAACTTAATTTTAAGCACTAGGCTGTAGTAAAGATATTATTGATCATTCATAGAACTTTCTTTTTATTGTTAAAAAAGTATTCAAAGTTTTAATATACAATCTGATGTAAAGATTTTAATGTTCTTCTCAAACAATAAAATGACAAAATATTTCAAACTACCTAATTATAATTGACGTATTATCTAAATTAGAATACAAGCAGGACCTAGAAGCGAGTGTCAAGAAAGAGACCAGTGGAGATCTAAAAGACATCCTCCTACAGAAGCTGGCTGGAGAGAAAGACAAGAAGGGTAAGAAGGACAAAGGCGCTGACCAGAAGGACTCACAAGTGGACAAGAAAAAAGCCGAGGAACAAGCAAAAGTTTTGCACGAGGTCAGCTTTGACAGCCATTTTCTTTTAATTTTTTGCATTTCTATATTTTTTCTTGTTACCAAACTAAATTACAGTTTTATATAAAATATAAATGTTCATCATGAAAACAAAACAAAAGTTAATGTAATATAATTTTGTTAATTTTAAAATCCATATTTTTTAGAAACCAAATGCTGAAGCAGCTAAGGCAATATTTAAAGAAAGCCCAGAACAGGTCCAAGCCACTGCAGATGCATATAAAGAGGTTCGCAGCCATTTTGTTGCTATTGAATATTGTGTAAAACTTATAAAGAAAATACATTGAATGATTTTTTTATCTAGTTTTAATTATCAGTTTGGAAATTAAAAGATTGTGCATTTTGTTTATTTTTACATTTTCAAATCTATAACTGATAAAATCCAGCCTTCAAACTAAGGGTCATATATTAAATTCTCCCTCTATCCTCAGTTGAAAATAATTAATATTTTTAATGCAATCATTTTTACCATTTTTATTGTAATTGAATTTTCAGATTTTTTTGTGTAAAGGACAAAAGATAATCAATAAATGCTAAATAGAAAAAAATTATAAATTTGTCATTGTAGAATGAAACATTTTGTTATATGTAAGCAACAACCTTTGAATGTATTTTGTTATCAAAGTCTAATAACAGCCCCCCCCCCCCCTTTCTTCCCTCCCCTCCCCCCCCCCCCCCATTTTTTTAACTTGATCTACTGATTGAACTGTTAAAAATTGCTAATATTTGTAATTGTTTTTTTTCCTACATAGATGTATAATGAAGACATCACTGTGTCCATTAAAAAAGCATGCTCTGGTGATACAGAAAATGCCTATCTTACAATCTGTAAGTAAACAACTAAGCCTTCTTTTGATATGCATTTCGTTTACTAAAGAAAGTGTGAATTATTGTAGGTCCAATTTTTCATTAATTTATTTATAAGAAAAAGTAAAAGATCAAGTTCTAGAATTCACCACATATAATCTTTTGTGACCAATTTGAAATTCTTAAAACTATAGATACATATTTCTCTTAGGTTGCAAGGAATGTGATAAAGAAAAATAACGAGCATTCTCATGCTGTCATTAATCCAGACTGTCTTTATAGTTGAAATAAGGCTATGAATGTTTTTTTTTAAATTAATTCAATATCTATGATAAAGAATTCAAACTGGTATTTAATAAAAGTTTTCTTTTGTCATTTAGTAAAATCACAAGGGGATCAGTCAGAGTTTTATGCAGAGAGACTGAATCTTGGGATGGCAGGTTTTGGTACCAATGACACTCAACTCACAAGAATCTTGGTCGCCAGATCTGAGGTAAAAATTGTTTAAATATAAAATCAAAGCAAATTTTGAAAAAAAAATGAACTTGAAATTTTAAAAATATTATACAAATTTTGTTTGAAATCATAGATATCCATTATATTACCAAGTAATACGAAATGGACTGTGAATTAATATAAGAGTGTTTAATGATAAAAACTATTACAGTTATAAATATTTAAGGAACTATCTTATCTAAAATGTAAAAAATTGAATACAGTTTTAGAATGCTCTAAATAATTAAACATTTGGTGTGATATATTAAAATAATTATTAACTATATGATGAACTATTACAAAAAAAAAATTAATTTTTGCAAAATATGAAAATATTAATTTGATTTTATTTTTCTGTAGATTGATCTACCTGCCATTAAAGGTCATTATCAAAAACTCACTGGCCATGCACTCAAGAAAGATGTTGAAAGCGAGACCAGTGGAGACTACAAGAAAACTCTTGTGAAAATCCTTGACAAAGTCGGAGAAGAGAAACCCAAAGAGAAGAAACAGGAGCCAAAGAAGGAAAAACCAAGGTCAAAGAGTCCTGAGAAACCAGCTGCTAAGGAAGAGAAGCCTAAAGATGTCCAAGCTAAAAATGTGAAGTTCCAGGAAAAAGAAACAAAACAAGTAGAAAAAAAAGATGAGAAAAAAGAAATTAAAACAGAAGTGAAAAAAGAAGAAAAGAAGGAAGAGAAAAAAGAGGAAAAGAAAGAGGTAAAGAAAGAAGAGAAGAAAGAAGTGAAAAAAGAAGAAAAGAAAGAAGAGAAAAAAGATGAGAAAAAGGAAGAAAAGAAAGAAGAGAAAAAGGAAGAGAAGAAAGAAGATGACAAGATCAATGAAAATGATGAAGATGCAGTCAAACTGTACAAAGCCATGAAAGGACTCGGAACTAAAGAAGATGTCATCATTGAAGTCATTGTCAGGAACTCTAATGCTCAGAGGCAGACACTGAAAAAGAGATACGCTGAACTCTATAAAAAGGTAACATCATGTCATCTGTTTCTTTTGAAGGTGTCTACAGGTATTAAGAAAGGTCTAAAAAAAAAGTTACAAAAATGTAAACAAATTTGTCTAAATAGAGAATGAAAATTCAGGTTAACATTTACAGCCACTTTATTCTAACATCTCTATACTTTGCTAAATGTAACTTGTTTATGGGACTAATATAGCTATTAAACCACAAATAGTTGATTATTTATTTGTGTTAGTTACTTCCCCTTTTTTAAACTACAAAAATCATTATACATATAATATATAAAATAACCAAGGGAAACAACTATTAACCATTTTCCATTTTGTTATTAAAAATTCTATAGTGATAAAATAAAAAAAGCTGATAATTGTTGGTTATTTAGTAAAACATGAAAATTAAAAAGTTTATTTATCTTTGTCTGATTTTTATGTTTCCCAAATTTAAAAAAAAATAGTTTACTGTAATTTTAGCAGAAAACACTTGACCAATTTGGTAATTAAGTTTAATACATATAGATGAAAGCTGATTATTTGTCAGTGCGTATTAGTTGTACAAAACGACTAATGTTTTATGCTTTTGTTTTATAATTATTTACCAATTCAAAATGTATGGTTGAATATCCTATAATTCTGGCTTTCAAATGATACTCCCAGCATTGCCTGATGCAAATCACAGACTTAATAGAAAATTTGTATAATTTGCTTCAATTATTAGCCTCCTATATAAGTGGAGTAAGGGTGGCCAATAGGGAGGTGCCAAGATTTTGGGGAATTTTAAAGGTGGTGCAGAGGCTTAATGTCTCAAAAGAGCTGCAGTATATTGACACATTGGGTGTAATGTTTTCTTTTATAAAGTTTTGTCTAATTTTTCATAAACATACTACAATATTTCCAAAACATTTGAAACGTTAGTGTTGTACAGTTTTAATTTTTTAGTTTTTTATCTATACATAAAGTGTATTTTTCAAATACATTTCTACTTTCTATTTACGGAATCAGAGTAACCAAATATTTGTTTCGATGTTTTTTGCATAACACAGGAAAAATTATATGATATCATTTCAGACTTTAACTTAACACACCTACATGAGTTACATCAAATAAATGTCTGAGTCAATGTTTTTATTTATGTCAATATAGTCAAATTTATAAACTTTTTTCTGCATATTACAGCAGGACCTTGTGAAAGATTTAGAGTCAGAGCTGAGTGGAGATTTCCAGGAAACAATTTTGGCTCTGATGAGGCCCCCAGTAGAGCAAGATGCCTACACACTGAACAAGGCCATGAAAGGACTAGGCACTGATGAGGATGTTCTCATTAGCATCATTTGCACCAAGTCACCTGCAGAGCTGGAGGAGATCAAGAAAGTCTTTAAAAAAGGTATTTCGTAAACTTTAAAAACTGAAGAAGTAGGCCTACTTAGGTTCTTGGAGCCAAATTTGCAGTTATAAATATTTAAACTGCTCTATCAAACTAAGCAAAATTTGTTTTTTGCTCTTTAGTTCAAAATGGGATCTATACAAAAACACAACACAGGTTCATGTGAAACATAAAACTAACACAATAGGCTACTCAATCACACACAAAAAATACTCAGTAAAATCCACTACTTGTGACAGTGGCGTAGCCAGGATCGTCTCAAGGGGGGGAGGGTCCAATTTTTACCCGGGGACAAACTTTCGATTTGCACCCCCCTCAAAGTTTCGATTTGCACCCCCCTTATACTTTTTATATATATAACGAGGGGTCTATGGAGGGGTTATGACCCCCCTAACCCCCCCCCCCTGCCTACGCCACTGACTTGTGAAATACACAACCTGCTCATATAATACTAAATATAATATACCGTAGAGTACAAGAAAGATCTTGATGCTGTGGTAAAGAAAGAGACCAGTGGAGATTTCCAAGAAATTCTAATGCAGCGCCTCAGTGGTAAGAAGGACAAAGGTGGCAAGGAGGACAAGGACAAGGCGGAGAAAGACGCTAAAGCTCTTCATGAGGTACTTTTTAAAAATTCTACAACACCTGGGTCAAGTCATCAATGTGGGGTCCAGCTTCAAGTAGTCCCCTTGCGCAGTTACTAAGAGCTAGATGTATTGCTTACATAAAATATTACCAGTATCATTTTTGTTCTAGTGTTACCCTCCCCCCCCCCCCCCCCACACACACACTCTCAGTGTTTCTTCCAGACTTTTTTTCTCTGGGGGGGGGGGGGGGCACTTGAAATGTTCGGGGGGGGGGGGCGGTAGACTTGCTTCGGGGGGGGGGGCACTGTTAAAAGTATATATTTTCTATATAAATTATATAAATTTCGTTCGGGAGTAGCCCCCCCCCCCCCCCCCCCCCCCCCCAGAAGAGATGCCTGGAAGAAACTCTGCACACTCTCTCTCTTGTAGATGCTGCTCATTACCAGCTCAATCAATGCCCATTAGCCAGGCAGGCTGGAACAGGGTTAAGAGCATCTCTCTCACCTATGTGATTAGACCTGTGGGCTTTTAACTGGTTCCCCCCCCCCCCAGTGCATCACACTACCCAATTTGGATATGAGGGGCAGTTCTGTTTGGGGATGACCAATGGTCTTGATCATGGGTAAAGGACACTTGGCTTTTAAATTAGAAAGCATGTGTTCTACCACAAGACAATGCCTTCCATCCTAGTGATTTAATTCACATTTCTATAGTAATTTTGACATTTTATGTGTAACATAGACTTAATGGGATAATAGGCAAATTACACCATGACAAACTTGTGAACCAATAGACTGGTTACTGGACCCAAGCCTGTAAGTAAGACATCCAGAGTTTCTTCCAGTCATTCTTCCCCCCCCCCCCCCCCCCCCAGAGAAAAAAGCCTGGAAGAAACACTGAAGACATCCCTCAGTCCACCAACCCTGGTTGATATCTAAAAGTAATGCTTGCTTTGTATTGTACTGACCACACAATCCTTTATGGTCAAAAACACAGGTGAACCAGATCAGCCCTATGGGTAGTCAGGTCTCAAATGCTACTTACCATAAAAACCTATTATATATTACAAATGGGGCATATTTTGTGTAATAATGCTCATTGAAATGGATAATCTCTATCTAGCCATATTTGTTGAAGCAGTTTTTGTCCTATTGTTGTAAATATAAATTTTCTAACACATTAATGCAACTGTATACTAATTTCTTTTTTAAATGTTGCTCAAAACTTTTAAAAAATAATTTTATAGAACCTGTCAGTCACAATTGTTAAAGAAATCTTAAAGGGCAGCCCTGAACAGTTCAAGGCCACTGCTGCAGCACATAAGGAGGTAAAAATCTGGGGAGAAAAGAATCTTTATCTAATAAAGAATTTAAAATTTAGATTCGACCTTTGTTATTTTCTAATATTTACTGTGTTTTTCTTCTATTTTCCTATGGTGATGCAATGAATGTCTTGTTATTTTCCAATGTAGCTTTTTGATGAGGACATTACTGAATCCATAAAGAAAGCCTGTAGTGGGGATGCCGAGAATGCCTATCTTGCTCTTGGTAACCATTTTCATCTGCTTGAAGTTTTTTTTTTTAATGTTTATGCTGAATTGATTTTAATCAATATATTAGTATTAATAGTTATTAATACAAGTTAGAAAACTTCTAGTTATATCTTTACACATTTATATTTTGTCAGTTGTCAATAATGATGTTGAATTATCAGATAATCTTACTTGTCTTTGTTTCAAACCCTCCCTCCATTTGAATCTAATTACAAAATTACTAAAGCTTATCTAATTTTGTTATAAGGACATTTTCAGCTTTCAGCAGTTAGTCAATTAGTTGTTCATGTGTATAAATGGAAGATTATTTGAAAAAAATATATAATATAATTCAAGACAAAATGCTAATAATTACACATTTTTGTATTCATGTTATTAAAAAAAAAGCAGTTTAACATTATTTAAATATCCATTTACAGCTGTTTAACACTTTCCTTAACCTAATTTACGACTCTATATCTGGCTGCTGCCATAAATAAAATAATTATACTACCTACATTGTCTTATGTAAACTAGTCATTACTTAGTAAAAATGCTTAATGTCTATGATGCTAAACAAACTGTCCACAGTGAAAGCCCAAGATGAGCCTTCAGCCTATTCTGCTGAGAGTTTGAACAGAGCTATGAAAGGTCTTGGAACTAAGGACACATTACTGATCAGCTTGCTTGTTGCTCATTCGGAGGTGGGTGATGTTTTTTTTTTAAATAATTCTAAAAATTGTATAAATATTTGCTGTAGGCCTATATAGCTTTTCAACTTATGTAAAATTTATTCGTAGTTTAAATCTGTAAAAGTTTTATATTTTTTTTTAAAGTATAATTTTTCAATTAAGAAAGTAGCTTTATGAAAAAAACGTCCTCTTCGATTGAATCTACTACTAATGTTAACACCAAAAAAAATTTTCCATGCATAGCAAAGATTACATTACACTAAATCAACATTGACCATTTTGTATTTGTTTCAATTTCCTTTCATTTAAAATTAATTCTACTTCTATACCAGACTGATTTAGCAGCTATCAAAGGCCATTATCAACAAATTTACGGTCACTCTCTCAAAAAAGACGTTGAGAGTGACACCAGTGGGGACTATAAGAAGACCTTAGTTAAAATTATTGACAAAGTTGGAGAAGAGAAGCCACCACCCAAGAAAGAGACACCCAAAAAGGAAAAACCAAAGTCCCAAAGCCCAGACAGAGGAGTGCTTATAATGGAGAAGTCAAAAGATGCCAAGAAAGCAGAAAAGCCCAAAGATGTCAAAGCTCCGGTAAAGGAAGAAAAGAAAGAGGAAAAGAAAGAAGAGAAAAAGGTAGAGAAAAAGGAAGAAAAGAAAGAAGAGAAAAAAGAAGAAAAGAAGGAAGTTAAGAAAGAGGAGAAGAAAGAAGTGAAAAAAGAAGAAAAGAAGGAAGAAAAGAAAGAAGAAAAGAAGGAAGAAAAGAAAGATGAAAAGAAGAAAGAAGAGAAAAAAGATGAGAAAAAGAAAGAAGAAAAGAAAGAAGAGAAGAAAGAAGATGACAAGATCAATGAAAATGATGAAGATGCTGTCAAACTGTACAAAGCCATGAAAGGACTTGGAACAAAAGAAGATGTCATCATTGAAGTCATTGTCAGGAACTCTAATGCCCAGAGGCAGACACTGAAGAAGAGATATGAGGAACTTTACAAAAAGGTGAGACCTATTAAAAGGATATAATGCCTATTTCATTTATTTTTAGTTTAGCGGTACTTGAAATTTTTTTTAAATATCTTGAGATAAATAATACTAAAATATTTCCAAATCCCAAAAGTGTACAATGTAACATTCACAATGTTAAAATCAATCATTATGTTTAATTTTTTAGATCAAATAGCCATTTTGTTTACATAAGTAGCATGCAAACATGATTTAGATCATAAGTGTACCATGGATAAGATAAACTTTTTATCTTTAATATTAAACACTAGATGGAATAGATGGAATATAGTTGCTCTCCACACTAACAATATTTAAATTACTATTGCCATGTATTATTATTACTATAACGAGAAAAATGGCCCGTTGAGGAAGGGTACAACGGGCGCTAGGCTGATAGTGCTGTCTCTTTTCTCTAAACTAAAACCAACCCACCCCCCCACACACCACCCCCACCCCACCCCCACACACCACCCCCACCCCCACCACACACCACCCCCTCCACACACCGCCCCCCCCCCCCCCCCAAAAAAAAACATGTCTACCGTCCCATTCAACGAAATATAATTATATACTTTTTCCAGTGTCCGCCCCCTCCCAGAAAATTCTACCCCCGCCCCCGAAAATTTCAAGTACCCCCACCCCTCTCTGGGGAGGAAAAAGTCTGAAAGAAACACTGAAACCAACCCACCCCCCCACACACCACCCCCACCCCCCCCCCCACACACCACCCCCCCCCCACACACACACACACCACCCCCCACCCACCCACCCCCACCCCTCCACCACCCCCCACCCCCAAAAAAAACATGTCTACCGTCCCATTCAACGAAATATAATTATATACTTTTTCCAGTGTCCGCCCGCTCCCAGAAAATTCTACCCCCGCCCCCGAAAATTTCAAGTACCCCCACCCCTCTCCGGGGAGGAAAAAGTCTGAAAGAAACACTGAAACCAACCCACCCCCCACACACCACCCCCCCCCCCACCCCCACACACCACCCCCCCACACCCCCCCCACCCCTCCACCCCCCCCCCCCCCCCCCCAAAAAAAAACATGTCTACCGTCCCATTGCAAGAAAACCACTTTTAAGATTAGACACATTAATTAGGCGGTAATTTTATTATAGAGTATCGATGAGGAAATTTCTTTTGAGTTAGGGAGGGGGGGGGGTGGCTCAGACGTTCTTACGCGGGTGGTGGGGCTTCGCCCCTACCCGAAGAATTGTATGCAAGAAACTCTTCACGCAAACCATTTAGATTAGACAACATTTCCTTTTTTTCAATGTTTACGCGAGAATCAATGACGTCATTACATTACTGTGTGCACTCTCTGGTTTGAGATTATGTTCTACTCTACGCTAAATGTGTCGACGTCATATTTCGTTTTTCGAATTACTGTGCATGTTTTTAAATTGCTTGTGTTTTCTCTAGAGCGTTCTTGTCAGACAGAGCGTTCTTGTCAGACAGAGCGTTCTTGTCAGACAGACAGCGAAACTATTATTATAGACAGAGCGTTCTTGTCAGACAGAGCGTTCTTGTCAGACAGACAGCGAAACTATTATTATAGATTAAATCATAGTCTTTCAATGAAATAATCTGAAGCTATAGGCTACACTAATGATTAAAGGGAAGCTACTCTATGCTAAAACCAAATAACCTACAATCATAACACACTGTAATCTCTCAGTTATTGTCGCATGGCTGACATTCATATAAATAGCTCTAATTATATGAAAATTAATATTTAAAAAAAGTTTTATCATACTTCTGGTCAGCCTACCTTTGCAAATATCCTGGACCATTTCAGTCAATTGGCTTTCATTAAAACTTTCAAAAAATCATTCCTTTTATTAATATTTCTAAATAATATTATAATATAGTAATATACTCTCTAACATTCAGTTTACAATTTTTTTTTCAGGACCTTGTAAAAGATCTGGACTCTGAACTGAGTGGAGACTTCAAGGAAACCATCCTGGGTCTAATGATGCCACCAGTAGACTATGATGCTTACATCCTCAACAAAGCCATGAAAGGATTGGGCACAGATGAAGCTGTTCTAAACACCATCATCTGCAGCAAAACATCAGCAGAACTGAGTGAAATCAACAAGGTCTATAAGAAAGGTGAAGGGTCTATAGAACTGTAAATTGATATGTTTATGTAAAAAGTTAGAAAAACTACAATATTCATATAAAATGTTTTTACCTTTAGTTTTAAACTGTTGAAAATGATTTATAATTTTTAGCAGATTTATTGATCTGTAGTCAATAGATTTAAAGTCTTGTACAAGATTGTACTCAAATTATTCTATATCTAAATTTTATTTTTATAAAGATGTAGCAATTTAATTCACAGCCTACAAGAATGACATTGAATCTGCCATCAAGAAAGAAACAAGTGGAGATTACAAGGAACTTCTCCTTCAGCTGATTGGTGGCAAGAAAGACAAGGGAGCTAAGCTGGATCAGGCCAAAGCAGAAGCAGATGCTAAAGCATTGCATGAGGTTGCTCATTTTATCTACCTGTTGTTGTTTATTGATAAGACAAAAAATATTTATTTTCTCTGGTTTGTATTTTGTATTGTTCCATCTGTGATGTATGTCAAGTTATTTTCAAAAATTGAACCTTTTGATTTTATCATTAGAAAACACTGGACTAAATTGTTTTGTCTGTATGAAAATTGTTTAACTTTTAATAAATTTTTAAAAACCTAAATTTTTATCTAGAAACCCTCAAAAGATACAGTGAAAGAAGTCTTTAAAGGAACATTAGAACAAATTCAAGCAACGAGTAAAGCTTATGATGAGGTAAATTTTTAAACATGTTTATTTAGTTTAATTTCATTACATAAGTTAATTTTTCAAAGATTATTTTTGAAATGTTTGCAGATCTTCATCTTGAGCTATTTTTTCAAATTCATTGTAAACTTAAACAATTTTTAAAAAACCTATTAGCTGAACTTATCTTAAATAGTTATTACTTTAAAATCATCAATTCATTGAGGTATAAATTCAAATCTATATTTCTTCTTTAAAAAAAAAACATCTAAATTTACATTTTGTTTCTTCATTTAAAGTTATAGATGCTATTGAATTTATTTATGTATTTTGTAAATAGTGTTTGTTTAGAAAAGTATGCTATTTTGTAATTATTATTAAAAGATATTTTTTTATTATTTGAAAATTAATACATATGGAAATATTTTCATTTAATACTAAATTATTTCTTTAAGCTGTTCAATGAGCACATATCTGTGTCAATAAAGAAAGCCAGCAGTGGAGATGTAGAGGGCGCTTACTTAGCTCTTGGTTAGTATTTTACATTCACCTAAATTATACTTTCTATTTAAATGTGTATTACTTGTTATTCACGAGTTAAACTTATTCAAGGTATATTAAAATCATTTATAATTTATTTATTAGATCTTACATTTTACTGTTAGTTAAAAATAGTATAGAGATAAGAAAATGTGGATTTTTTAAAAATTATTTTATTTTATTTAAAACTATTACAAAATGTATTACAGTGAAATCACAAGACAAGTCAGAATTCTATGCAGAAAGTCTCAACAACTCCATGAAAGGTCTTGGAACCAAAGAAACACAGTTAACCAGTGTGATAGTCAGTAGATCTGAGGTAATATAAAAGTTAAAACACAAAATTACAACTAAACATTCTTAATTTCTTACCATTTTAATATAAAGTTTTGTTATTTTTAGATTTTTCTGTAATTTCCTAAAAATTAAATTTACAGTAACAAGCCTAATTAGTTTGCCGCATCTGATTACTCATTTCAATTGGTATTTAACAAAGTTAAATGAAAGTAAATGTTAACAAGTCTTTGTGCTCATTTCATAGTCCATTTTCCAGATAATTTCTTCTTAAACTATTTTTTTTATTCTTTGCTTTTATTTTCATAGACGGATCTTCCAAAAATCAAAGGCTTCTATCAACAACTCTATGGCCACTCACTGAAGAAAGATGTGGAAAGTGAAACCAGTGGAGACTACAAGAAAACTCTTGTGAAAATCCTTGACAAAGTTGGAGAAGAAAAACCACCAGAGAAAAAGAAAGAACCCAAAAAGGAAACAGCCAAGGCACAAGAAAAACCTGCAGCTGTTGTGAAAGAGGAAAAGAAAGATGTTCAGGCTAAGAAAGAGGTAAAGAAAGAAGAAAAGAAGGAAGAAAAGAAAGAAGAAAAGAAAGAAGTGAAGAAAGAAGAAAAGAAGGAAGAAAAGAAAGAAGTGAAAAAAGAAGAAAAGAAAGAAGAAAAGAAGGAAGTTAAGAAAGAGGAGAAGAAAGAAGTGAAAAAAGAAGAAAAGAAGGAAGAAAAGAAAGAAGAAAAGAAGGAAGAAAAGAAAGATGAAAAGAAGAAAGAAGAGAAAAAAGATGAGAAAAAGAAAGAAGAAAAGAAAGAAGAGAAGAAAGAAGATGACAAGATCAATGAAAATGATGAAGATGCAGTCAAACTGTACAAAGCCATGAAAGGACTTGGAACAAAAGAAGATGTCATCATTGAAGTCATTGTCAGGAACTCTAATGCCCAGAGGCAGACACTGAAGAAGAGATATGAGGAACTTTACAAAAAGGTTAGAATTTTCATTTAAACACTTAAGATTTCAAAAAATGTCTTCAAGATAAAAAAAATTTTTGTAAAAACATCTTTTCAGTTTAAATGTTTTAAATTGTACAATATTTTCATTTGGATACATTTTTATAAATTTGAACTGCTTGCTTTTTCTATTTTTAGTTGTAGTAAAGTGATGAATAAAGACATCATTTCAACTGCTGCTTATTTTTTGCATAACATAATTAATTATTAAAACAGCGTGTGTTACTAAACTCTTAAACAATTATTCCTGAAGATATTTGTTTTATTGTTAATATAGAATTGAGAATAAAATAAAAGTATTTGGAAATATGATAGAAATTTTAAATGTTTTAACAAAATAATTTAATTTCATTAAATCAAATTTTTTTATAAATTATAAATAATTAAAGGATTCTAATTTTTCAGGACCTTGTAAAAGATCTGGACTCTGAACTGAGTGGAGACTTCAAGGAAACCATCCTGGGTCTAATGATGCCACCAGTAGACTATGATGCTTACATCCTCAACAAAGCCATGAAAGGATTGGGCACAGATGAAGCTGTTCTAAACACCATCATCTGCAGCAAAACATCAGCAGAACTGAGTGAAATCAACAAGGTCTATAAGAAAGGTGAATGGTCTATAGAGCTGTAAATTGATATGTTTGTGTAAAGTTAGGTAAACTACAATATTCATATAGAATGTTTTTACCTTTAGTTTTAAACTATTGAAAATGATTAATAATTTTTGGTAGATTTATTGACTATAATCTTGTACAAGATTTTTGTTACCGATTCAAATTCTTCTATATCTAAACTTATTATTATAAATAGAAAGCAATTTAATTCACAGCCTACAAGAATGACCTTGAATCTGCCATCAAGAAAGAAACAAGTGGAGACTACAAGGAACTTCTCCTTCAGCTGATTGGTGGCAAGAAAGACAAGGGAGCTAAGCTGGATCAGGCCAAAGCAGAAGCAAATGCTAAAGCGTTGCATGAGGTTGCTTATTACTCATTGCCTGTTTATTTTTAAGGCCAAAAGTATTAATTTATCTTTCTTTGGTTGTACTTTATTTGTGTTGTTTACTGCAACTAAAAGTGATGTCATAAAGTATTTTTCTATTACATCAATAAATGTAGCCAAATTTAGTATCTTAATTATTATATATTTAATACTAATAAAATCTAAATTATTGCCAGAAACCCTCAAAAGATACTGTAAAAGAAATCTTTAAAGGAACCTTAGAACAAATACAAGCCACCAGCAAAGCTCATGATGAGGTATCTTTTTAAACAACTTAAAACTGTCGGTGTATTCATTTTGATATCTGTTTTTTACCTGTTTTTTTAAAATGGTATACATTTTCTTCATGTGTTATTTTCATCTATTTTCTTATTTTTACTTCATTATCATCTTTATGAGGTAAATAACTAGAGGAAATATATTAATTTTGTTTTATAAATAGTTATAATTTTAAATGCATTGAACATATTTGAGTAAATTTAAAATGAAACACATGGAAACATATACCAAAGTTTTCACTATATTTATTTTACTTCTAAATTTTTTTTAAAATATAGGAATGTTAAGATATATTTTCATTTTTTCCCCTTATATTATTCCTTGCTTTAGCTGTTCAATGAGCACATATCAGTGTCTATCAAGAAAGCCAGCAGTGGAGATGTAGAGGGTGCTTACTTAGCCCTTGGTTAGTATTTACTGTTATAGAAATTAAAATATTGTGTCACTACCATTGTCGATTTGATTTGATATTTATTGATATAATTTTTAATTTGTTTAAATGTCATGTTTAAAGCATAATGTTTTTAATTTTTGGACAACACAAAATGAGTTTTTGATTATATTAAATTATATTTCTATCATAAATATTTTTTTTTAGTGAAAACACAGGACAAACCTGAATTTTATGCTGAAAGTTTGAACAACTCCATGAAAGGTCTTGGAACCAAAGAAACACAATTAACAAGTATCATAGTCAGTAGATCTGAGGTAAAAATATAAATAACTAATTTTTATAATTTCAGAACTTACTTTTTCCTCGCTATTTACAATAACAATGTTTTAAAAAACTGATGGTTTTTTTTTGTTAGCTTGTTTCTATGTGTGTTTAATATTACATAGTAAAATTCACTATGGGTGGGAATCTAGTATTTTTATTTTATTATTAATTGTTTCTTTATGAGATTAACATTATTAAGTCTTGAATGTCTAGATTTCCAGCTTCCAGCATGTCAAAGAGTCCTTTTACTGGGTAAATATTGAAGTAATTATTACTTTGCAAGAAAAATATTTTTTTTAAATTCATAGTTGGATCTCCCAAAAATCAAAGGCTTCTATCAACAACTCTATGGCCACTCACTGAAGAAAGATGTTGAAAGTGAGACCAGTGGAGACTACAAGAAAACTCTTGTGAAAATCCTTGACAAAGTTGGAGAAGAAAAACCACCAGAGAAAAAGAAAGAACCCAAAAAGGAAACAGCCAAGACACAAGAAAAACCTGCAGCTGTTGTGAAAGAGGAAAAGAAAGATGTTCAGGCTAAGAAAGAGGTAAAGAAAGAAGAAAAGAAAGAGGAAAAGATAGAAGAAAAGAAAGAAGAAAAGAAGGAAGTGAAAAAAGAAGAAAAGAAGGAAGAGAAGAAAGAAGTGAAAAAAGAAGAAAAGAAAGATGAAAAGAAGAAAGAAGAGAAAAAAGATGAGAAAAAGAAAGAAGAAAAGAAAGAAGAGAAAAAAGAAGAGAAGAAAGAAGATGACAAGATCAATGAAAATGATGAAGATGCAGTCAAACTGTACAAAGCCATGAAAGGACTTGGAACAAAAGAAGATGTCATCATTGAAGTCATTGTCAGGAACTCTAATGCCCAGAGGCAGACACTGAAGAAGAGATATGAGGAACTTTACAAAAAGGTGAGACCTCTTAGATTTAAAGAATATCCTTTTATTTGTAAGCTAAGTAAACTCTGTACAAACAAGTTTTTGTTTTTTAAGAATGTCCCAAAATTGCCTTTTTAAATGAATATTCATAATTCTAACCATACCATGGTTGGCTTTGCTACTGTCCTTTAAAAATTATATATCATAAAGGTATTTAAAAATGTGTAAACAGTGTGAATATTGTTATAATTTATCAATACTGTGAAGGTATTTATTTACAAAGTAAAAGAAAGGGACCACTAATAGTTACATTTTACTCAACATATTTGTTTTTATATAACAATATCCAATCAAACCACTTATTTTTATAAATATATATTCACATAAAAATTTATATTTTAATCTTTTACTCAATCACATTTTTTTTATTAAATAAGGCTATTATTTCTTATTAGTATATTTTTTTTATACTTTTTATCTTTTTTCAGGACCTTGTAAAAGATCTGGACTCTGAACTGAGTGGAGACTTCAAGGAAACCATCCTGGGTCTGATGATGCCACCAGTAGACTATGATGCGTACATCCTCAACAAAGCCATGAAAGGAATGGGCACAGATGAAGCTGTTCTAAACACCATCATCTGCAGCAAAACATCAGCAGAACTGAGTGAAATCAACAAGGTCTTTAAGAAAGGTGAGGAGTTGTATGTATATCAAGACTTTGTGAATGTATAATTCAAAAACGTAAATACCCCATCATCATAAAATGGTTACTCCTTTAATATAATTAAAGTTATTTATCATTACATGTTTACCTCTCTCTTGTAGAATTTAAATCAGACTGTTTTAATGTATAGATGATTTAATGTTTGTTTTGTGTTCAAAAGATTATTGCAGCTTGCCTTTTGTTTTAGAATTGTTAAAATTAAAAGCATTTCAAAATAACATTTTACAGCCTACAAGAATGACCTTGAATCTGCCATCAAGAAAGAAACAAGTGGAGACTACAAGGAACTTCTCCTTCAGCTGATTGGTGGCAAGAAAGACAAGGGAGCTAAGCTGGATCAGGCCAAAGCAGAAGCAGATGCTAAAGCATTGCATGAGGTAACATTCTTTTTAAAAATCTAATTATTTAAATTTCTAAGTCTTATTGCTTTTTACACTTTTATCAGACCATATAATATGTGCCAAGTCAGTTTTGTTCATCAGGTAGATGAAATAAGAAATAATTTAGCAACTCATCTTATGAGTCCTAGATATTAGAAAATCAGTTATTGGTTTTAGTTTTTTTTAGCTATGAACTGTATTCAAATGCACATTCTCCAAAAAATCTTATTCAGAAACCTTCCAAAGATACAGTTAAGGAAGTATTCAAGGGAACTCTTGAACAAATTCAAGCAACTTCTAAAGCACATGAAGAGGTAAATACTTTCACTTTCTATCCCAAATGAATTTTCAGTAAATTAAAACTTCAGCTAAATATATTTACAAAAGAAAAAAATAAATTTATGATTTATAAATTTCACTCTATAACATTAATTTAAAACCCAATGTTTTTTAAATTACTTTTCATAATAGTTTAATATTTTCTTTCTCGAACATAAAAAAAAAATTAAAATTTTCATCCATGTCTGGGTCCCTTTAATCAAAGTGATTTATGCCTTGCACATTTATGCCTTGCCCAGCTGAAATGCAAACTACTTAATTGTTTTAAAAACATATAACCTGTTATTACAAGAGGACTAATTCACTAAATAATTTAACCCATAATGTAATTTATATCACAATTTCACAATTTTTAAACAAAGTAACATTTTCTGGGCAGCAGTTTTTCAATGTATTTGGAAGTATAAAAACAATATGCTCGATTGAGTAAGAAAATTAAAGTGCATGTATGACAAAAGATATGCTAAAAAAGAGACTTGTTGCTATTCTCAACATGGAAATGTCTACATCAGATTCAGCACTAATAAAAAAGCCATTGAAAATTTTGTCATTTTTTTTTTTCAGAAAAAAAAATAAACAACATGATGTAACTAAGAAATCAAAATTGTGAAAATACATAAACTGTTAGGATTGATTAGTCATTATTCGGTTTTACATTATTTTTTACTACAGCTGTTCAATGAGCACATATCTGTTTCAATAAAGAAAGCCAGCAGTGGAGATGTAGAGGGCGCTTACTTGGCACTAGGTTGGTATTTATAATAAAAAGAATCAATTATTTTAATACTCAAAACTTATTCTTTTTACATGAAGTATTTAACTTTAATTAGCGCCTAATATTTATTTTTAATAAATGTACTTTTCCTTACTGTTTCTTTTGTGTATAAAATCAGCTACTGAGTTATTAATTATAATAAATTTAAACCACAAAAATATTCTCATTTAGTAAAAGCACAGGACAAACCAGAATTCTACGCAGAAAGTCTCAACAACTCCATGAAAGGTTTTGGAACCAAAGAAACACAGTTAACCTGCATCATAGTTAGTAGATCTGAGGTAAAAATAAATTTAAGAATTATAATTTTTAAAAGTAATTTAAATTTCACCTAAATATTGTAAAAGTAAAACAAAAAAACAACTTCAAAATAAAAAAAACTTATTTAAAAAGGAAATAAATAATTATCTTAAATACAATTTCTTTTTTTTTTTTTCATTTGTTGATGTAGGCTTACTGATACTCTCAGTTTCAAAATAATTGTTTACTTTTTTTTTAATGTGTTATTATTTATCTCTTTTTTTTTAAATTACAGGTAGATCTTCCAAAAATCAAAGGCTTCTATCAACAACTCTATGGCCACTCACTGAAGAAAGATGTTGAAAGTGAAACCAGTGGAGACTACAAGAAAACTCTTGTGAAAATCCTTGATAAAGTTGGAGAAGAAAAACCACCAGAGAAAAAGAAAGAACCCAAAAAGGAAACAGCTAAGACACAAGAAAAACCTGTAGCTGTTGTGAAAGAGGAAAAGAAAGATGTTCAGGCTAAGAATGATGTTAAGAAGGAAGAAAAGAAGGAAGAAAAGAAAGAAGAAAAGAAAGAAGAAAAGAAAGAAGAAAAGAAGAAAGAAGAGAAAAAAGAAGAAAAGAAGGAAGAAAAGAAAGATGAAAAGAAGAAAGAAGAGAAAAAGGATGAGAAAAAGAAGGAAGAAAAGAAAGAAGAGAAAAAGGAAGAGAAGAAAGAAGATGACAAGATCAATGAAAATGATGAAGATGCAGTCAAACTGTACAAAGCCATGAAAGGACTTGGAACAAAAGAAGATGTCATCATTGAAGTCATTGTCAGGAACTCTAATGCTCAGAGGCAGACACTCAAGAAGAGATATGAGGAACTCTATAAAAAAGTCAGTACTTTTGTTAATAAAACAAAAAAACTATTACAGTTGATTGTTGTTGTTTTTATTCTTAAGTATTTTTAGATGAATTAATACCAAAACTTTACAAAAATAGAGTATACACCTTTTTTTTTTAAACAAACCTAAGCACTAACATTTAAATTATGAATACTTTTACTGCTGATTGTATGTAGCATTTTTTAAAATATCAATTAAAACTTTAATTATTTAGCTCAAATATTTATCTATTACCTGTTTTAATGCAATTTAAATTCTGTTACAGGACCTTGTAAAAGATCTGGACTCTGAACTGAGTGGAGACTTCAAGGAAACCATCCTGGGTCTGATGATGCCACCAGTAGACTATGATGCTTACATCCTCAACAAAGCCATGAAAGGAATGGGCACAGATGAAGCTGTTCTAAACACCATCATCTGCAGCAAAACATCAGCAGAACTGAGTGAAATCAACAAGGTCTATAAGAAAGGTCAGGAGGTTTATATAGTTTTATACACTATAGTATTATTTTTAGGTAATTTAGCAACAACTGTGATACAACATTAAGGTAGGTATCCATTAGCTGAGCATGGTTAAATGGTAAAGAATTTGGCTGCTAACTTGTTGGTCTTGAGTTCAGATCTTGATTCAGACTTGTGACTGTAAGATGCCCATGAGTCAACCTAGCTCTAATGGGTACCTGAATTACATTGAGAAAGTACAGGCACCTGGGCATAGTGCTAACCACATCATCCCCATATATGCTGAGATCAAGAAACATGAACTCTACTTCATCTATCCAGTGGATTGGTAGAGATTTAAAAAGGAATTTTTACTGTTATACCTAAAAGCTGTACCATAAGTATAAGGCACAGCTTAAGGACAAGTATTTTTAATATTATTTAAAACCACTCGTAATCTACAATTAACTGTACAAAAAACTGAATTGTAATAATAAACAACTATATCCTGAAGTTTTAAAAAATTAATATTGACCATACCAAATAAACAATACCCTAAGACTAATAATAAGAACCTGCTACATAAACTATTGAAAAGAATCTTTTGAGGTATAGTAGCAAATAATTGTGATTACAAGTGTTTATATATTAAATTTTACAGCCTACAAGAATGACCTTGAATCTGCCATCAAGAAAGAAACAAGTGGAGACTACAAGGAACTTCTCCTTCAGCTGATTGGTGGCAAGAAAGACAAGGGAGCTAAGCTGGATCAGGCCAAAGCAGAAGCAGATGCTAAAGCATTGCATGAAGTAGTTAACTTTTTCACCATTTTCATTTTTAATATTACTAAGAAACATTTGCTAACATGTGACAGTTAATATTTTATCAGCTTGTTTATCAGAGAGATCAAACTTTTAAATATGTAAAATATTGAGAGATCAGAAATATAAATAAAATGCATGTTTAGGTTCTTTTTATTTTTATGCTTTTTTCTAAATATGAACTTAATCCAAAGCAATTATTTTTTTAGAAACCTTCCAAAGATACTGTTAAAGAAATATTTAAGGGAACTCTTGAACAAATTCAAGCAACTTCTAAAGCACATGAGGAGGTAAATAAATATTGGACTACTCACACTGGTGTCATTTAAAAGTACTTTTCAACTCTTAATGTACTATATTTTGTACACTTTCTAAAACTTTAATACTTACTTTATATGGACTTTGTAAATCCAGTTTGTCTATAATCTAACTATTCCCTCCTACCCTTCTATACCTTATTGGGTTGTTTTTTTAAAGCATCAACATTCATTTGGCTAGTTAAAAAAAATATTTTTATCGTTAATTTTAAGGAATAGCTATCCAAATGTTAAATTAGACTGCTCCTGACCAATACATTTTTTTAATTGACTGCAGTCTTCTCTGTATGTAGAAAAAAAATTGTATCGAACAAAATACTTTGAAGATGTGGGTAGAATTTAAGAAATGAAACATTTTAAATAAATAATGTCTAAAAGTTTTTATATCTTTTGTTTCTACAGTTGTTTGATGAACATATATCTGTGTCCATTAAGAAAGCCAGCAGTGGTGATGAAGAGGGTGCTTATTTAGCTCTAGGTTAGTATTTACTTAGTGTTAAATAAAACAAAATATTTCAACTATTCCTAGCCTTAATTAAATATTTAAAAATTTAAAAAAAAAAAATGCTTAACTTAAAGGGATGGGTTTTTTTTTAAAATCATTTTGATATTGTCTATTTTGCAAAGAATATTTACTAAATGTATTAATTATTTAAAAAACATCATTTTTAATATTTAAAAAAAAACATTGTTATTTAGTAAAAGCACAGGACAAACCAGAATTCTATGCAGAAAGTCTCAACAACTCCATGAAAGGTCTTGGAACCAAAGAAACACAGTTAACCTGCATCATAGTTAGTAGATCTGAGGTAATATAAAAGTTTAAATTTAAATTTCAGTGAAACAAATTTTTCTTTTAAAAGGATTTATTTTATTTAGCTGAATCCATCTGTCTTTTAAATCAACACATTTTTGTAGTTCTACAGTCTACACAAAGGGATTTTTATGTTAATTAAAAAACATACATAGATTATTTCATATTAACTTTAATAATATTGACAATGATTTTTACAGGTCGATCTTCCAAAAATCAAAGGCTTCTATCAACAACTGTATGGCCACTCACTGAAGAAAGATGTTGAAAGTGAGACCAGTGGAGACTACAAGAAAACTCTTGTGAAAATCCTGGACAAAGTTGGAGAAGATAAACCACCAGAGAAAAAGAAAGAACCCAAAAAGGAAACAGCCAAGACACAAGAAAAACCTGCAGCTGTTGTGAAAGAGGAAAAGAAAGATGTTCAGACCAAGAAAGAGGAAAAGAAAGAAGAAAAGAAAGAGGAAAAGAAGGAAGAGAAAAAGGAAGAAAAGAAAGATGAAAAGAAGAAAGAAGAGAAAAAAGAAGAAAAGAAGGAAGAAAAGAAAGAAGAAAAGAAAGAAGAGAAAAAGGATGAAAAGAAAGATGAAAAGAAGAAAGAAGAGAAAAAAGATGAAAAGAAAGAAGAGAAAAAAGAAGAGGAGAAAGACGATGACAAGATCAATGAAAATGATGAAGATGCTGTCAAACTGTACAAAGCCATGAAAGGACTTGGAACAAAAGAAGATGTCATCATTGAAGTCATTGTCAGGAACTCTAATGCCCAGAGGCAGACACTGAAGAAGAGATATAATGAACTCTATAAAAAGGTGAGAACAATTTCCTTGTACTCATTCTGTTATTAGCTTCTACTAATGTATCTCTTTAGTTTTTCAATGCATGTTTTTCTGTATTGTGTTTGTTTTTGTGTATCTGCAATTTGTATATGAGGTAGATTATGAATACAACGGAGACAGAAGCCATGAGCATGTAAATAGCTTTATTTGTTAACCGGAAAGAGAGGACGGAAGTGGCGAGAGAGAACTATTTATAGATAACAACATGTAAGGGACATCACTCAAGATAACAATATAAATATAATACTAATACAGAGAGTGAGTTCCCTTGACCTCACAATTAACTCAATCTATTACATCCCTTTACCCTTAGAACACAATAACACATCTCTCAATAGAACAATTGATAGTATCCTAAAATCACCAATTATATTGTAACATGAACACTATGGTAGATTACATCCTTACAAACAATGCACAATATGCTACAACATAATCAAAATACAAAACGATGATGTCAAAGTCCTTTTGACCTTTAAAATCATAGGTCTAACTTATTTGGGACTTTGATTGTCCTGTTTGACCTTCTCAGTGGCCTTTGATTTGGTGACTCAATATTCTGACCATTTGGATTCTCTATCTCAGGAGGTCTAGGATTTAAATCATTAACTCCAGAATTTACATTTTCTGACTCCAGACAACTTGGTTCACTCATATCAACAGAACTTGGTTGTGGAACAAACTGAGTTGGTGTGAACTGTTCAGATTTGGTGGGATTGACAGATTCACACTTATTATCTGCACAAGTTATTTTTAACTGGTCTGCATGTCTACGGACAATAAGTCCATCATTTGTTTTTACTTTATAAGACACAGGTCCTGTACATTGAACAATTTGACCTGGTATCCATTTTTCCTTTCTCCCATAATTTCTTAGATACACATTATCATTAACTGCAAATTCTCTTTCAATGGATGATTTGTCATGATTTACTTTTTGTGTATGTTGATGTTGGGAAACAGACCTTTGAACAGTTGGATGCAGTAGGTCAAGATGAGTTTTAATTTTCCTACCACATAGCAATTCACATGGTGCAACACCTGTTGTTATATGAGGAGTTGTGCGGTATTTGGTTAAGAACCTGTTTACTCTTTCTCTAAGAGAAAACTTGTTACCGGTATTCATTTTTACCATAGCGGTTTTGAATATGCCTACCGCTCTTTCAGCCAAACCATTCCCAGCAGGATGATAGGGGGATGTGGTTATATGCTCAATACCATTTGCCACACAAAACAGTTTAAACTCATGAGCTGTGAAACTAGGCCCATTATCTGAAACAATTTGATCTGGTAATCCATGAGTTGAAAATATTTCCTTCAGTTCTATAATGGTATCATTTGCAGTGATTGTGTTCATGATTTTAACTTCTAACCATTTAGAATGTGAATCAATAACAATTAAGAACATTTTGTTCATGAAAGGTCCTGCGAAATCTATATGTATACGTTTCCATGGTTCGATTGGCCAGTCCCAGTTTTGCAAAGGTGCTGTAGCTGGTTGATTTGAATGTTGTGCACAGCTTGAACAAAGTTTTACATATTTTTCAATATCAGCATCCATATGTGGCCACCAGAACCATGATCTTGCTAGACTCTTCATTTTGGAAGAACCAAGATGAGTATCATGTAAAGTTCTTAAAACTTCTTTTTGTAACATTTTGGGGATAATTACTCTTGACCCCCATAGTATACATCCATCTTCTAGACTTAACTCTGTTTTTCTTATTTTATATGGCTTTAAGTCCTCATTCACTGACTCTTCAGGCCAACCATTTTTACAGTACTCATATACTTTTATTAAGCACTCATCTTTTTGTGTTTCTCTTTTAATATCATTCACATTTATATTGGAGTTATCCATGATAGTGAAGAGAACAAATACATCTTCTGGTACATAGCTAAGGCTTTGGTTTTTTAAAGGTAATCTACTAAGACTATCTGCACTATTCTCAGATCCAGGTTTGTATTTCAATTCATAATTGTATGCAGTTAGTGTGATAGCCCATCTTTGAATTCTTGGTGAGGCATGCTCAGGTAGGGTTTTGTTTTCTCCAAATAAACCTAGCAATGGTTTATGATCTGTAAAGATGGTGAACTTCCTACCAAACAGAAACTTATGAAATTTCTTAACACCAAAAATGATGCCTAAGCCTTCCCTATCTAACTGAGAATAATTTTTCTCAGCCTGGTTCAAAGATCTACTGGCAAAAGCAATGGGTCTGTCACCCTTCTCATCCATGTGGGACAAGACTGCTCCTACACCATCTGGTGAAACATCACATGTTAATATAAGTCTTTTCCCTGGGTCATAGTGAGTTAGTAAGGTGTCAGCAGACAAAGCCTCTTTTGCTGTATTAACAGCAGCTTCTTGTTGTTTACCCCAGTGCCAAGTTGCATTTTTCTGTAGCAGCTTGTACAGTGGTGATAGTTTACCAGACAGATTTCCTATGAACTTTGCATAGTAATTTATCAAGCCCAAAAAAGCTCTTAGTTGTTGGGTATTTTCAGGTTTGGGTGCTTCTTTAATGGCTTTAGTTTTCTCAGGTTGAGGTCTGATACCTTGCTTGCTTAATATATAACCAAGAAAACTAATTTCTGTCAGCATGAATTGACATTTATCTTTGTTTATCTTTAAACCTTTTTCACCAACAATTTTCAATACTTTATCAAGTGTTTTAAGATGTTCAGTGTCATTCTTACCAGTTATGTACACATTGTCAAAGTACACACAAACATTTGGAATGTCCTTAAAAATACTGTCCATGACAGCTTGGAAAATTCCAGGGCTAGATGATATGCCAAAACATAGTCTTTCATATTGGTAGAGTCCTTTATGTGTGTTTATTGTCGTATAGACTTTTGAATCTGGATGCAGTTCTAGTTGAGTGTAAGCATGACTAAAGTCTAATTCAGTGAATTTGTCTCCTCCTGCCAAATTCAAAGAAATTTCCTCAATGTTAGGAATAGGGTACCTATTTAGCTCTATTTGCTTATTCAGTGTAGTTTTATAATCTCCACAAATTCTTATAGAACCATCCTTCTTTAACACTGGCACAATGGGTGTCGCCCAATCGGAATAGTCTACCTTCTTTATGATGCCATTAGATTCCAATCTACTTAGCTCATTTTCAATTTTATTCCTCATTGCATAAGGTGGAACTCTAGCTTTGCAGTATCTTGGATTTGTATCTTTAATGCTTAACTTCACTGTTCTATCATTTAGTAAACCTGAGTTACCAAAAACACATTTATTTTCAGATATAACTTTATCTAGTAAAGTAAGACTAGATTCTTTTACATTCTTCAATGAACAAATACTCTCCCAATTTAACTTAAGATCACTTAACCAGTTCCTACCTAGTAATGGCGGTCCATTTCCTTCAACCACAAGAAGAGGAAGTTTAACACTTTGACCATTATAACTTACATGAACCATACACTCTCCTATTACCGGAACATTGTCACCAGTGTATGTTGTTAGACACTTGTGACACGGCTGTAGAGACACTGATCCTCCTGTGACAGCGTCAAAATCTTTCTTTGTGATGACTGTTAGTGATGCTCCAGTGTCAAGTTGGAAGCTGATGCTCTTACCGTTGATATTAACTTGTACATTGATGGGAGCATGACTTATTGATTTCACATTTCCGGCTGCGAATCAGTTTGAGCATTTTCACAGGTAGAGTGGTTCATTGGTTGGGTTAGGTAGTCTTGGTGAGAGTTAACATAGTGCTGCCTTTGGTTGCGGTACTGTCTTGACTGGCTAGATTTAGCAACAGACGAAGACTTTGCAAAGCAGGCCTTGGCAATGTGACCTTGCTTACTGCACTTATAACAAGTTGCAGACTTGAACTTGCACCGATGAGATGCATGGGGACCTTTGCATCGATGACATTTTTGATAATTATTACTAGATTTAGATCTAGTATTTGAACGAGCAGGCTGTTTAGCATAAGTTGGAATGCTCTGATGGGGTTGATGTTTATCGACTAACCTGCTGTTTACTGCATGGATCCCTGAAGGCGTTAGAGATTTCGCCGCATCTGAAGACTGCTGGAATGACATTGCAAGTTGTATTGCTTTTTCCAATTTTAGATCTGACTCGAGCAGCAACTTTCTTTGAATATCAGGGCTGTTTACACCTGTCACAAACTTTTCACATAGTCTGTCAGACAGCGTTTCTCCGAATTCACAAAATTCACTTAAATGACGTAAAGCAGCAACATATTCTGATATTGACTCGTTTGGTTGACGAGTCCTACTGTCAAATCTAGCTCTACATAAAAACTTTGATGGGGTAGGCGCATGGTGGTCTGTTAGCAATTTGCTCAGCTCGTTAAAGCTCTTGGTAGTTAGACTAGCTGGTGCGCATAAGTCTTTTAGTAGCCTAAATTGTTGAGGCCCTATGACTGTTAACAAAACAGCTCTCTTTTTGGCTTCTATCGTCACGTTGTTAGCTTCTAGGTAAAAGCTTAACCTCTCTAGGTAATCTTGAATGATTTCATCATTCGCATCAAATTCTTTTATTTGGCCATACAGCGCCATAATTCTAGAAATAATTAGCTAATAAGCTCTAGCAAACCTCTTTTTTGCGTAAGTAGGTGCTCTTTCTAGTAGATGTTTATCCTTCGTCGCCAAATGAGGTAGATTATGAATACAACGGAGACAGAAGCCATGAGCATGTAAATAGCTTTATTTGTTAACCGGAAAGAGAGGACGGAAGTGGCGAGAGAGAACTATTTATAGATAACAACATGTAAGGGACATCACTCAAGATAACAATATAAATATAATACTAATACAGAGAGTGAGTTCCCTTGACCTCACAATTAACTCAATCTATTACAGTATAGTATATACTAAATGTAAATCTATTCTTAAATTACCTACAGGAACTGGTTAAAGACCTGGATTCTGAACTGAGTGGAGACTTTAAGGAAGTTATCCTGGGACTAATGATGGTTCCAGCCGACCTTGATGCCTACACATTAAACAAATCTATGAAAGGTCTCGGCTGTGATGAAAGTTCCCTCATCACAGTGCTCTGTGCTAAGAAACCTGCAGAGCTGGAAGAGATAAAAGCATCTTACAAGAAAGGTTTGTAACATTTAACATTGTGTTTTTTTTTAAAGAAAACATTTATCCAAATCAATGATGCTTAAATTACAACAGAATATTAGGAAAAATATTTTAAGTAGATTAAAAATTTTACTAATATTTTATTAATGATGCTGGTCTTTTATAATATAGAATTAAGAAGATCTGCTTCTCTTGTAATATCATAAATTTGTATCTTCACAATTTCCAAAGAAATGTATAAATCAATTTCAAATAAGGTGTAAATTTTCAATATATAAATGATATGAACTTTGTCCATTAGTCCTTATTTATAACCTTTCCCAGGCTTCTAAATTAGTCAAAGAGATGATCATGCTTTAACTAGGATTGTTTTCCCTGCAGAATATAAAAAAGATTTAGAGTCAGAACTCCAAAAGGAAACCAAAGGGGACTTCAAGGAAATTTTGCTGCTCCATGTCAGTGGCAAAAAGGACAAGGACACAAAAGTTGACAAAGCCAAGGCTGAAAAAGATGCCCAGACCCTACATGAGGTACAGCATAAGACCAGACAGATTAAATTTGATGAAATGATTCCAACCCAAGTTTTTTATTCACTTAACTTACAACATTAAATCCATTGACTGAAATAACAATTGTTGGTTACCCATAAATGTATATTTCTTATATACACCTCCACTTAAAACAGTACTGCAACAAAATACATAACCCATTCATTTTTCTCTAAGTTCTTTAACTATTGTTAAAATTATAAACCTATGCTTTGGAAATGTAATATGAATCAATCTTTTTTTATGCTGATATTTCTGATTTTATTATTTTTAAATACATGCCTCTCTACATTTGCTATCCTATATTCTCATCTAGCAAAAAACAGCTGCTGTAGTGAAAGAAATTTTTTCAAAGAACAGCTCCTCTCAGCTGCGAGCTGTTGCTGATGCCCACAGACAAGTAAGTTTTTTAAATGACTCTTTTTACAAGCTTTTATTTAACTCACTTCCTCTGTTGTCAGTCGTCAGTCTAGATCGAAACGCCGGTGCGAAATTGCAGACACTTCTATTAGACAGATACGGTTGGAATTTGGAACGTGGGTCAAGACAAGAAGACAATGCATCATGACATTAAATTTGACTTAATTGGTCGCCTAATTAATTATTTATGAATTAATTAAAATTTGGACTGAATTAGTAGGCATTTCTATTCAACCACACCACACGCGTCATCACCTTCAATAGCACGTCATCTCGTTCAATAGGCGCGCAATGGTTTTTAGTCATGAAACTCTATTGTAAATAAAAACATGTAAAGTACTAAAAAAAATTTCATAAAAAACGTTTTAATAACAAGCTTTTATGTACTAATGCACTAAAAAGTAGAAAATAAATTATAGACTAGTATTTAAATAACTATAAAGAAAAACGTGGGTCTCTTCCTAAACATTAGTAAAATTATCCAATAGATACTAAAGTGACCCACGTTTTTCTTTATAGTTATTTAAATACTAGTCTGTAATTTATTTTCTACTTTTTAGTGCATTAGTACATAAAAGCTTGTTATTAAAACGTTTTTATGAAAAAAATTTATCATTTATTCTTTAATTGTTCACCATTATTCCAGTTAAACTTTTTAAAAGTGTTGTATCAAAGAAATATATTCCAGAAATCATATTTATTTGTTTTGAAAAAAATATTAGTTTTATTTTTTTATTTTCTAGTTATTTAATGAAGACATAAGTGAATCCATCAAGAAGGCAAGTTCAGGGGATGCTGGGGAGGCTTATCTGGCATTAAGTACGTAGACTTGTGTTTTATAGCTTTATGGACAACATTACAATGACAGTAACCTATTTGAATGGACACATAAAACATTCAGTTCTGTGTTAGTTGTTAAATGAAAATTTGTATGTGTACATTTATTTTTATATGTAAATTCAAATATTTTAATTTAGCTGTTAGTCTTAAATCGTAAAGAGATTACTTCTAGCATTATTAACTATTGAGAATGAATATATTCAAGGGGTAACTCTTCAAATTATTCAAATTCATAGTAAGATAAATTGTAAAGAGATTACTTCTGGCATTATTAACTATTGAGAATGAATATATTCAAGGGGTAACTCTTCAAATTATTCAAATTCATAGTAAGATAAATTGTAAAGAGATTACTTCTAGCGTTATTAACTATTGAGAATGAATATATTCATGGGGTAACTCTTCAAATTATTCAAATTCATAGTAAGATAAATTGTAAAGAGATTACTTCTAGCGTTATTAACTATTGAGAATGAATATATTCATGGGGTAACTCTTCAAATTATTCAAATTCATAGTAAGATAAGTTGTAAAGAGATTACTTCTAGCATTATTAACTATTGAGAATGAATATATTCATGGGTTAACTCTTCAAATTATTCAAATTCATAGTAAGATAAATTGTAAAGAGATTACTTCTAGCGTTATTAACTATTGAGAATGAATATATTCATGGGTTAACTCTTCAAATTATTCAAATTCATAGTAAGAGCCCAACAAAATGAAGTGGGATTCTACAGTGAAAGACTTAATTCATCAATGAAGGGATTTGGAACCAAAGAGACTCAGCTGACTTATCTACTTGTGTCAAGATCTGAGGTTAGTTTCATGAAAAGTTGATCATTTTTCTCTAACTTTCCATTCACCTCAACCTTCAAACTTGTCAGCTCCTATCCTATTGTAAAATGGCTCTAGCTTTATTTCACATCAATTTCCAAACAAGTTTTATAGTAAATAAATAATATCACTGAACTTTTTTTTTACTAAGTTGAAATACTCAACGCAGATTGGTAGGATTTGATAATCACTCAGAGGCGTAGTGAGGGAGGGGGCGGGGGGGGGGGGGGGGGGGTACATATGTCCCCGGCGCCGACCTAAGGGGGCGCCAAAATGGGTTGGAAAAACAAATTATAAATAGTTTGAGGGGGGTGCCAATCAAAAGTTTGAGGGGGCAGGGAGTGCAAATCAAAAGTTTGAGGGGGGTGCAAATCAAAAGTTTGAAGGGGGGTGCATATCGAAAGTTTGAGGGGGTGGGGGTGCAAATTAAAAATTTGCTCCTGAGGGCGGCGCCAAATTGAAAGTTTGTCCCTGGGCGCTGGGAAGGGTCACTACACCTCTGATATCACTATAAGTAGAATGCTATTAGTTATTCTTACCATAAGCCTAACATTCAGTCTAACCCTGCACTGCAGTGATGTTATGGTTACCTTAAACCTTACTTGACCTAACTTGCAATGAAGGACTAGTTGCCATAAATTTAATACACAACTTAACCATGAGTTTTAATACAAATAATCACAACAGCATTCATTCTGGTTTAATATTATGTATGTTGGTAGGTCGACTTGCCAGTCATTAAAGGAAAATACCACAAAGTGTATGAGCATCCGCTCAGGAAAGATGTTGAGAGTGAAACAAGTGGTGACTACAGAAAAACTCTTCTGGCCATCATTGATAAAGTTGGAGAAACAGAGTGCAAAGATGAAGAAGAGCCAGTAAAGGCCAAAGAAGAAAAGAAGAAAGAGGAAGAAGACACAGAGATAAAAGAAAATGATGAAGATGCAGTGAAGCTGCATAAAGCCATGAAAGGATTGGGGACAAAGGAAGACATCATCATTGAGGTCATTGTGAGAAATTCTAATGCTGAGAGACAAGTGTTGAAGAAGAGATATGATGAGCTGTATAAAAAAGTAAGATTAATTCTTTACTGCTGTAACTGTGCGGCTTTAAAGTTTCTGCTTTTAACATTTTGTTTTGTTTTTCTATGTGAATGTAAGATAAAGTTTTTATTTTTTAAATTGTACTTTAATTAAACAAATGTGATGTTTAAAATGTATTTTAAATGTTTTTGCCTGATCTTTAGGATTTGGTTAAAGATTTGGATTCTGAGCTGAGTGGAGATTTTAAAGAAACAATACAAGCACTGATGATGCCACCAGCAGATTTGGATGCACATTCCCTGAACAAGGCCATGCAAGGAATGGGCTGTGATGAGGCAGTGCTGATTGACATCATATGCACCAAGTCAGCTGCTGAGCTGGAGGAGATCAAGAAAGAGTTTAAAAACAGTAAGATTTACGGAATTTTTTTTATTTTACTAACTCTTAGATTTAGTGGTACCATCTTAGTTATTAATTCTTTGTACTGCTACAAAGGGGGGGGGGGGGGGGAGAGGAACTATGCATTCTCAGTTGCTTTGTTTGATTTTTTTTAAAGCTATACTTACCTTCTAAACATTATGAAATATGCACAATATGTTAAGAAGATTCACTTTATGTCAGATTACAAAAAAGATCTGGAGGGTGAGGTCAAGAAAGAGGCCAAAGGTGACCTGAAGGAACTTCTGCTGCAGCTTCTTGCAGGCAAGAGGGAGAAAGGTGCCAAAAATGATAAAAAGGCAGAGGAGGATGCTAAAGCTCTGCATGAGGTATTGAGATGGTATTCATCACAGCTGTATTCTCTGTCTCTTCTAGCATATGTAGCTCATTCATGGAGATCTGTTGTTTTAATAATGTCAGCAACACATTCATTCTCTTCTATTTTTTGTGTGTATATTTACATTTTTTTTTTTTTGCAATACTCATTCTTTCCACTAAGTCCTGTTACATGTTTGAGGATTTCAGCCACTGTAAGGCTATATCTAATGCTGTACATTGACATTTTTTATTAACTTTGATTGATAGCCAGGAAGAATGTGTAGGTTTTTTCATGTTTTAAATATTATCTATTTAATTTCTTTAAACTTCATTACAATAAAAAAATATTTAAAGGAGGATCTATATCAATTCTACATTATATTATTACACAGAAACCCTCAGTGGACAATTTGAAGAAAATCTTCATCAAGAATAGCCCAGAGCAGATAGTAGCTACTGCAGCTGCCCATAAAACAGTATGTATTGGATGATACAACACGTTTTTTTTTTCATGAGTCTATAGCTGTGATAGTTTAGTTTATTACTTAGTTTCAGGCACCTTAAATCTAGACTTGAATTTTATTTTAAATACACTTTCAAACACGATGGTCAATATCCATTTTTTTCCATTTGTGCCCAAGACACATAGGGCAGATGAAGTTCATCTGCTTCTGAGACCTTGGCATATGAAGGGTTAGTGTGGTCAAAAATATGCCCAACCGCCCTTTTTTCCTAACATGAGTTAGGTACCAATCACAGCTGGGTGGACTCATGGACATTCTACTGATCTGAACCCAGTTTTGGACTGAAAAATTTTGGGTTAGCATTCTAGCTCTCTTCTGCTAGGCCATGCTGTACCATGATGGTCAATATGGTGCTATGGGTTCAAGCCAAAGAACTAAACATTTTAGCAATTTATTCTCTGCCATCCTTAGCCCTCCCATACTTGACTGCATCAAAACAATACAAAAAACCTTTTTTCTAATCAACTCAAGGCTAAAATCTGTTGGAATGTTTTATATTGATATCTTTATGTAGACCTAATGAATATATTATCTTTGCCAGTTGTACAAAGAAAATATCACAGAGTCCATTGAAAAAGCAAGTTCAGGTGACACAGAAAAAGCCTATTTGGCCATAGGTGAGAAATCTAATATGAAACTGTCAATAATTATCAATAACTGTTTATTAAGCTTATACATCACACTAATTTTATTAAATTTTTTTAGTGTAAAAGTGTTTTTTGTGCTTGACAATAATACCTGCATGTAGCTTGTTGTGCTTTCTAGTTAAGGCCATGGTCAACCAATCAGGCTACTACGCTGAGAGATTGAAAGATGCAATGAAGGGACTTGGCACAAAGGACACTCAATTGATCTGGCTACTGGTGTCCAGGTCGGAGGTAAGTCATGGAATATTAGCTGGGCTTTATGGCCACTAAATCATGGGATATTAGCTGGGGCTTTACAGTCACTAAATCATGGGATATTAGCTGGGGCTTTACAGTCACTAAATCATGGGATATTAGCTGGGCTTTACAGTCACTAAATCATGGAGTATTAGCTGGGTTTTATGGCCACTAAATCATGGAATATGAGTGGGGCTTTACAGTCACTAAATCATGGGGTATTAGCTGGGTTTTATGGCCACTAAATCATGGAATATGAGTGGGGCTTTACAGTCACTAAATCATGGGGTATTAGCTGGGTTTTATGGCCACTAAATCATGGAATATGAGTGGGGCTTTACAGTCACTAAATCATGGGATATTAGCTGGGCTTTATGGCCACTAAATCATGGAATATGAGTGGGGCTTCATAGTCACTAAATCATGGGGTATTAGCTGGGTTTTATGGCCACTAAATCATGGAATATGAGTGGGGCTTTATAGTCACTAAATCATGGGGTATTAGCTGGGTTTTATGGCCACTAAATCATGGGGTATTAGCTGGGGCTTTACAGTCACTAAATCATGGGGTATTAGCTGGGTTTTATGGCCACTAAATCATGGAATATGAGTGGGGCTTTACAGTCACTAAATCATGGGATATTAGCTGGGGCTTTACAGTCACTAAATCATGGGATATTAGCTGGGCTTTACAGTCACTTCTTCTTCTTCTTCTTCGTTCTTAATTATTAGTGTTGAAGGGGATCGAGATTTATCTGCCAGTGGGTTTGAACTCGAGACTTTGTTCGAATTTATCAACCATGAGCTTTTTGCCGACTCGACCACGCCTCCAACACAATTAAGCGTTACGTGTCAACTGGTTATGCGCCATTGAGGCCATTGACTCCGATTTCAGCCTGCTTTTCTTTTTGGATTTGCTTCCATAGCCTTTGTCCAACCAAGAACAAACTACAAGGCAGCAGTTGTTTTAATTTTGGAGTTGTCCCTCCTAGAAGAGTGGCTGTCCCCAGCTAACGAGCCTCATCTGCCCGAGGGTTCGAACTCGAGACTTTTCGGTTTAGCAACCATGAGCTTTACCGACTTGACCACGCCGACCCCTTACAGTCACTAAATCATGGGATATTAGCTGGGTTTTATGGTCACTAAATCATGGGATATTAGCTGGGGCTTTATAGTCACTAAATCATGGGGTATTAGCTGGGGCTTTATAGTCACTAAATCATGGGGTATTAGCTGGGGCTTTACAGTCACTAAATCATGGGATATTAGCTGGGTTTTATGGCCACTAAATCATGGAATATGAGTGGGGCTTTACAGTCACTAAATCATGGGATATTAGCTGGGTTTTATGGCCACTAAATCATGGAATATGAGTGGGGCTTTACAGTCACTAAATCATGGGATATTAGCTGGGCTTTATGGCCACTAAATCATGGAATATGATTAGGGCTTTACCGTCACTAAATCATGGGATATTAGCTGGGGCTTTACAGTCACTAAATCATGGGATATTAGCTGGGCTTTACAGTCACTAAATCATGGGATATTAGCTGGGGCTTTACAGTCACTAAATCATGGAATATGAGTGGGGCTTTACAGTCACTAAATCATGGGATATTAGCTGGGCTTTATGGCCACTAAATCATGGAATATGATTAGGGCTTTACCGTCACTAAATCATGGGATATTAGCTGGGGCTTTACAGTCACTAAATCATGGGATATTAGCTGGGGCTTTACAGTCACTAAATCATGGGATATTAGCTGGGGCTTTACAGTCACTAAATCATGGGATATTAGCTGGGCTTTACAGTCACTAAATCATGGGATATTAGCTGGGGCTTTACAGTCACTAAATCATGGAATATTAGCTTGGTTTTTGTGCCACTTTAACATGTATTACACTGCCAGCTGGAAATTTTTTATAATTGACAAATCGAGTGATGTTTTCTTTAATTTTGTTCTCTTGATTCTGTTTCTCAGTGTGCTGTCTTATTGCTTATTTTATCTCCCCTGTTAATGCATATCTTTTCTTGTTTTTTTTTGTTAGCTTGCTGCTTCTCTTATCTCATTTACTTATATCCCTTGTTTATTTTTACATTTCTCCTTTGTTTAATTCTAGATTATCTTTCCTGAATATTGATTGCTTATCTCCCCTGTTTAATCCTTGCTTATCCTCCCTGTTTATTAAATGATTGTCTCCCTGGTTAACATATCACTATTCTTGCCTCCCTTGATCAGGTGGATCTCCCAGCCATCAAGGGGAAATACCGTAGACTCACTGAGCACCCCCTGCGTCAAGATGTGGAAAGCGAAACTAGTGGCGACTACCAGAAAACATTGCTGAAGATAATCGACAAGGTGGGCGAGATAGAGGACACATCTGAGAAGGAGGAAGAAGAGGATTCCAAGAAACTGTACAAAGCCATGCACCGAGTGGGCACAGATGAGGACACGGTTATTGAGGTGGTCACTAGAAACTCAAACGCAGACAGACAGAAGTTGAAGAGCCGGTACGAGGAGCTTTATAAACAGGTTGGTAGCTGGTTGGTTGTAAGCTGGTTTAATAAAGACAAATGCAAGCTGCATTCAGTTCACAACTAGATTTAGATGTATACATTTTTTTTCTCTCTGATTGGTGTGCTTTTTAAATTTGCTATCATCTTTCTTCATTCGCGCTGACGACACATGGGGCAGATGAAGTAGAGTTCCTCTGCTTCAGAGACCTCGGCATATGAAGGTATAGTGTGGTTAGCACTATGCCCAGCTGCTTTTTTACCCTAATGTAGGTTAGGTACCTATCAGAGCTGGGTGGACTCAGGGACATTCACCTGACTTGTCAGTCTAACTCTCTTTAATCTGCTATGTAAAAGTAAAATCAGACCACGTTAACTTTCCCTTGTACCACAGTATACATATGCTATAAATAAATAATCAAGTGAAGCTGAATTGTGGCTTAGATTGTTTTTTAAACCTCATACAGTTAAACTATTAAATGCACATGTTAAAATTTTAATTGTTTTACTTCATTTGTTAACATTTTGTTATATTTATTTATTACTTTGATAATTACTGAATTGTGGCTTAGATTGTTTTTTAAACCTCATACAGTTAAACTATTAAATGCACTTGTTAAAATTTTAATTGTTTTACTTCATTTGTTAACATTTTGTTATATTTATTTATTACTTTGATGAAGTTTTACAGGTGAGTATTTATTATGTTATTTAGCAATAAAAGCTACTTTCTCTTTCAATATATTCTCTTTGTTTCCCAGGATCTGATGAAAGATCTGAGATCTGAGTTATCAGGTGATTTTGAGGACACTATCATAGCAATGATGATGTCACCAGTTGAATATGATGCCTACTGCCTGCATGAAGCCATGAAGGGCCTGAAGACAGACAAGACCACTCTCATTGGCATCATCTGCTCTAAGAATAATGAAGAGATGGCAGCAATCAAAGAGGTCTACAAGCAAGGTAATAAAGAATGAATTTTTTTCATAGTCTAAAATAAAAGTAAAATGTATATCCATAATACAGTAGTGAAAGTAAAATTTCAGGGTTTTTTTAAAGGTTGTTTTATTTTCCTTAAAGTATAAAGCTTCAAAATTGTTTGTTTTTTTAATTTCATTTTTTTTTAATATTGTGAAACTTTAAGAATGTAGTAGTTTTTGCAAACATTAAATATTTCAACTAAAATTAAACTGTAACGTCGTGTTTACACTTGTGACATGTGTGCTATACATGTCTTGAAAAAACTCATAAAAGTAAGCTTTTTTTTTCTAGACCTCTATAGTATACATGTTGCAAGTGTAAACGTGGTGTCAGAGAATTACAGGATTGTTATTTTTAGTTCGTTTGAAATATCCAAACAAATGGTATTTTTACTGTAGGCCTTACATGGCCATCTTAGAATAAACAAATAGAAATAATTTAGTATTTAAAATGTATCACCTTAACTTCAAGCAAAATTTTAAAATAATTCTCTAGTTATATTTGTATTGCTTGTTCTGACAACAATCTTGTAATGAACGATTTTCTGTTGTAATGGTTCTAGAGTTGTTTTTTTTATTGTGTTTACAGCCTACAAAAAAGATTTGGAACTGGAGATTGTCATGGACACCAGCGGAGACTTCAGGGAGCTGCTGCTACAGCTGGTCAGTGGTCAAAGAGAGCAGAGTCCAGTGGTCAACAAAAACAAGGCTGATGAAGATGCCAAGCTTGTGCATGAGGTACACACCTTTAATTTTAGAACGCAACATCCAACACATATGCAACATTTAACAAATATCAATCATTCAACAAACACCCAACTTCTAACACAACACATTATAATACAGATACACTCAAATGTCCAATACTTATCCAACATTCTACAAGTATACTCCAACATCCAACACACACACAACATTCTACAAGTATACTTCAACATCCAACACACACACACAACATTCTACAAGTATACTCCAACACACACACAAATATTAATTATCCAGCAACTACCCAAAATCTACCTCATACACATCATCCTACAAATATACTCCAAATTTCAACACTTACTTAACATTCAACAGATATACTCTGACATCCAACACACTCACAACATCCTACATATATACTCCAACAACCAACATCGGACCTAAATTATCAGAAACACATCAGCTACACATCCAAATCTGCTGTAGCCCTTTATACATTCCCTTACAAATAACATCTTACAGGTTTCAATATATAAACAGAAGGCTGTAGGCTACTCAACGTATGCAATGCAATAGTTCTCATGTAGCACATTATACTTACACAACAAAAACATGTGTGAAATATTTCTTGCTAGCAAGCTGTACCATAAAATAGTCCTCAAATAGCAGACTAAAGTCTGGTAACATGAAAATAAAATAGTCTTCACATAGCATACTATACTCTGATTACATGTATGAAATATTTCTCTCTAGAAACCCACAGCTGAGACACTGAGGAAGATTCTTGTTGCCAACAGTAAAGCCCAGGTTCTTGCTACAGCTGAGGCCCACAAGAAGGTAAACACATTGACACTTTAGGTCTTGTCTAGTAGGTCTGTGTGGGTTTTTAAAAATTTCTGATATGTTAAATCTTCTAATGGGAAGGAAACAATATGTAAAATAAAATCAACCATTGAATCACTAACTAGTTTTTGCAATTTTGTCATTTAAAAAAAAATTGTATCAGACCATAGCTGTTTTTTTAAATAGTATAAACATTGTTTCACTTTAGATGGAAACTGAAACTAATTTTAAAAACTTTAAAAATAAATAAATATATATATATATAAGGAATAAAATGTGTATCTTTATTCTAAAATTAAACTTATATTTTAAAAAATAGACAAACATTTATGATGCTAGGGAAAAAATTCCTCACATTTATGAAGAAGAAAAAAATTATTTTATTTTTGTATTATTATTTACAGCTCTACAATGATGACATGGTGGACTCTATAAAGAAGGCAAGCCATGGTGATACAGAAGATGCATACATTGCTATAGGTCAGAATTTTTCAAAATAATTCCCTTCTGTCTAAACTCAACTACTTTATGTGTTTTACTTTAGAGAATAATCAGGGGAGTTAATGATACAGCAAGTCCATATTTTCTTCTGTAGGGTATAGATTACTATGCTTTGACAAATTTCTCAGTAGAAATGTCATTAATTATCTAAAAAAATATTTAAACAATGTTTTTAAAAAATTTATATTTTTATAGAAAAAGAATTGCAATAAAATGTATCAATTTAGAGATTTTAAGAATAATTTTGTTTCTCTTGGGACTCAGTGAAAGCTCTGCAAAGTCAAACAAATTTCTTCACTGAGAGGGTCAAGGACTCCATGAAAGGCTTGGGGACCAATGAGAAACAACTGATCAGGATACTGGTTTCAAGATCGGAGGTAAAGTAGTTATGCTGGTTTTTTAAATGGTCAATAATAATCATAATAACCATTACAAAACTTTTTTCATAACAGCGACAATAGTAGGCATGGTAACTTTTTTTAAACATTGGCTGTTAGTAACAAACTAATTTTTAAAGACATTACTAAAAAAGAACATATTAAATATATACGTCAGAAATACATATTTATAAAGTTTGAATATAAAGTAAAATGGAGTTGGAAATGTGATGATTCAGCTTAGAAGGTCATGAAATAATTGATTTATTTTTGTTTGGAATAAATTTTCTGTTAAAGATAGTTTTACTGAATAAGGAAAAAATTAAATTATGTGTACTGGGGTAGGGGTTGCAGGGTTCTTTTATGTAGTAAGGAATTTTATGTTTACATAAATATGTAAATAAATATTTGAGATTTAGTATTGCATAAAGATGTACTGGGGTAGGGGGTGCAGGGTTCTTTTATGTAGTAAGGAATTTTATGTTTACATAAATATGTAAATAAATATTTGAGATTTAGTATTGCATAAAGATGCACTGAACTGTAAATCTTATGTCAGACTTACATTAAAAAAAATCTTATAGATTTATTAAAATATTTTTAAAATGACAAAATTGCAGAAACTATTTTTACTTTAATTTACTTATATAACAAATGCAGTTTTATACAATATTTAAATTACATATTTTTAAAATGACAAAAACGCAGAAAATTGTTTTGTACTTTAATGGTTAATTTTATTTTTGCTACCTGTCACACAGGTGGACTTACCAGACATAGTTACCAAGTACCAGGAACAGTATGGACATCTTTTGAAAACTGAAGTGGAGAGTGAAACCAGTGGAGACTACAGAAAAACTTTACTAAAAATTATTGATGTATGGGGCACAGCACGTAAAAGTTAACTAGATTGTGAGATTTAATTTACAAGATAATTCATCCTATGTCTCAAAGTTTTATTGATACAAATTTTACATCTGATTTTTAAAAATCTAAAATAGGCTTACTTCTTTTTGTGTTAAAAAGTGACTTTTAATAAAACATATGTAACATACGTGAAATCTTGAAATTTATATTAATTAAGGATTTGTTTTCAAATACTATAGCAAGAATATTTTATATTTCAAAGTCCATTATATCATTAATTTTTTTAAACTAGAAGTGATTATACAAAATATCCTTTTTTACAACAAATATATTAGCCTTTTTATTTTATCAGAAAAATAAACTATACAATTTCTTAGCTTCTAAGATTTTTTTCCTCATGCTAACTTTATACATTTTAAAACTGTGATAACTGGCAATTATTTTAAAATGTTTATTTTTTCTGACACTAAATTTAATTATTTAATTAAGAATTAAAATGACTGTGATAAAGATAAAGTATTTATTTTTTATATTTTAATTAAATACATTTTTGTGTATGAGGATTTAATATTATATGAAAACAAATGACTGGAGAATGAATAATATACACTGAGTAAATATATATGTTGGATATTAAAATGAAAGTTTCTGTATTTGTATGTACGTTAGATAAGCTGTGATGACTTGTAACTATTATTATTTAAAATATTTTATGTATAACTGTTACTGACAAAGCAACTTGTGATATTTTCATGTAAACTTACTAGACATTCACTATATTATCATTTATGCAATTACATGTATGTAATTATATAATCAACTGCAATATGTATTACATTTTTTAATGTATTGTAAAGCATTGCTTTGATGAAAGAACTATATGTTGGAATGTTTTGTAAAAGTGTTTGTTCTATAAGCTGAACAAAATAAAATAAAAGCAATGTTATAGATAAATTGTTTCTATAAAAAAAAAATTATGAAACAAGCTTTTTTAACAAGTTTCTGATTTAAAGTCCTTTTTTCTAAAAATGAGTGAAATGCTTATTGAAATGCAACTTTACATGAATAAATAGCTTTAAATTTTATTATTCAAATGCCTACAATAGTAACCCTTGTTCATATTTGTAAAATACCTTTAAATTCTAGCCTACAAGTTGTTTACGTTAATGTCATTTTATTGTTGAATAGCATTATTTTACATTACATGCAGCCTTTTAAAATGATTACTGGCAGTGCATTACTGTCACACAATGTAAAAAAAAATGCAAGAAATAAACTTATGACAATTTAAATTCAGTATTTTATATTGAAATTTCCTTTAAATATAATAAATTTTATAAAATTAATAAATATTTTCGTTGTATTCTTTGTTCTTATAAAACTATGCAAATATTCTTACAGTATGTTCTAAGCTTTAAAATTTCATAAAATACATATAAAAATGCCCAATAATATTTTAGTTCAATGAATGATAAGAACAATAGGAAATATCTTGCCTAGGTTTGTTTTGGTAGATCTGTGTAGTGCATAGATCTATAGCAGGTCTGCATTAGCAGATTATTTTTCCCAGTTGCTAATGTCTACAAGAATTAAAGTATTCTAATATAGGAAGAATCTTTCTGCAATTCTTTTATACAACAGTAAAAAAACAACTAATTATTGCTAGCCTGAGTTCTTTTGGATGGAAATTTGAGCTGAATCTGGAGATCCCTTCCTCTATGTAACCATCCTAGTGTTTGCCCAACTTTGATAACATAGACAAGGATATGTACCATTGTTCAATTAAAGTTATGTTGAAACAAGTAGAAAACAACTTTTATACATTGGTCGTGGTCATTAAAATATATTTTTAAGGGCAAAAGCTTTTGCTATGGTAAAAATTTATGTTATTCTTCTTATTTTCAATAGCATGTTTAAGAATTTTAAAATATAGTAGCAAGTTGATATTTAAATTTTACAAATATCACCACTCATTTCCTTTTTTTTGCGTTTAGCAATGACTATATCTAAAGTAAAAACTATATATGCATGCATTTTTATCAGAAATGAACAGAAATATGAAATTAGAAAGAGATAAATGAGAAATTGGTTGAATTTGACTTACAAGATTTAAGCACAAAAAACAAACATTGTGACCTAAGTCAAAGCTGGTAAAATATTTTTGAAAACTCCAAAAAGTTCATAATCAGTTTAATCTCATTAATGATTTTGTAAAAACATTGTTAAATCAATATTCACATGAAGTTTGCTTGTAGATTCTGTCAGATATGAGTAACATTGAATATGCAAGCATTTTATAAATCAATTTTTACATTTTGAAAGCATCTGGGCAATTTTTATAAAAAAAAAATGATATTGATAAATACTGATCTTTTTGTGTGAATAAAAGCACTAATAAAATAGCAGAGCCAGTTTATTGCATACAGTAAAAATAAATAACATTTCTATAACATGTCTATAACATGTTTGTCAGTGTTTGAATCAACTTACAAGACATCTGTTAAATCTGCTAATAATGTGACTAGCGAGTACACAGTTTGTAACTGTTAAGTGAAATCTGTAGCTTGTATTATTAATCCATATTTTAAAATAATTTGCTACACTTGAGAAAAAAAGTAAAATAAATTGAAATTAAATTACATTTCAAAGCTGTATACATAAAAAATAGGTCTACTCTTATATTCATATATTACTAAAATTTAATGTAATGAAATATGATTAATTTAAGATAATTGCAATGTGAGCATAAAATCAATTTACAATAGCTGCTATCTTGAATACATTAAATATTTTAAAATAAAACATGATGGATGACCCTCAACATAAGCCTTAATTTCTTATTTAATATGAATTATTTAAGGAATAGTACAGTATTTTAAACAGTTCTTCTACTGATACAACATGTACGAGGAATAAAATAGAACTATTTTCGGGGATCCACATAAGCCTACTGAGTATACAATCTTTTTTAATGTAGCATACACTTTGACATAAAAAAAAATAGTAGACAATGAAAAGCTGTAAACTTTGTTAACTATAAATACATTTTAATATGTTTTTTTTTAAGTAGAATACATTTTGAAAAAAAAAAAACATAAATAGTACACTGTGAAAAGATGTAATCTGTGTAAATCATATATAAATTAATACATTTTTTTAAAGTAACATATATTTTGATATAAAAAAAATAGTAGACAATAAAAAAATTGTAATGTTGAAAAACTATAAACTCAAATTTTTAAAAATATATAATAGAGTACATTTTGACAAAAATAAATACATAAATAGTACACATTGAAAAGCTGTAATCATATACAAATTAAAACATTTTTTCAAAGAGCAAAAACTTTGACATAAAAAATAAACGGTAGCTGTAATCTTTGTAAATTATATATAAATCAAAACTTTTAAGTAAAAGGAAGAGTTCCAACCTTTGTTCTTTTTTTTATACAAGCCCAGCTTGTGAAGCCAGAGAATAAAACATTGAATCTTGCCTTTCTAACAGATTTTTAGGTGTATCAAATTCTACTATCTGCCCATTATCAAGCACTAGAATCCTGTAAATACATGTCAAAAAACAGTTTGTTAACTTTTATATTTTAATATATTTTCTTGATCTTGGACTGAATAAAAGTTTCTATTACATTTTTTACTATAATTTAAAAAAATACTAAAAACACAAATTAAACAGAATCAATTTAATTTAATAAAATTATAAGAAAAATAAATTTTATAATTGAATTCTGAATTATTTTTATTCTTGTTGCAATCTTTAAACTTTTAAACAACAAGCTGAAATAATGTTGCTAATAAATAAAATGGAACTAAGATCACCTGTCATAGTCCATGACTGTGTTTAGCCTATGGGCTATTGTAATCACTGTGCAATCCTTGAAGCTTTCCCTGATACTTTTCTGGATTAAATCATCTGTTTCCATGTCAACAGATGCTGTGGCTTCATCCAAAATAAAAATCTTGGATTTTCTCAGAAGAGTTCTTGCTAGACAGATAAGCTGGCGCTGACCCATGCTATGAGGATTCAGTTTAGAGTTATTTTATTAGAAATTTTATAACAACTTTTTGATAGTTTTTAAAATATTTTTTAAAATTTGTAATTTAAGATGTATTGTTCATCCCAATATTATTTTATTGTCAGAAATTGGAGAAAAAATAACAATTTTATGTTTAATCTAAACAGTATCACTGATTATTTTAGTAAGAAAGATTACCTCAAGCTATGTCCTCCCTCCCCAACATTATGTTCCAGCTTACTAGGTAGTTCTTCAACAAAACATTTTAGATGGGAATGTTCCAAAGCTTTCCAGATCTCAGCATCAGAATTTTCATTAAAAGGGTCAAGGTTCATTCGTAAAGAGCCAGCAAACAAAACTGGATCCTAATTATTTTTTTAATGGAAGGAAACCATATTACAATTAAAATGTATAAATATCAATAATTGAGAAATATGAAGCATAATCTTGGCTTTAAAATACAACATTTGGCTATAGTGAATGTTTATTTATTTATAAAAGCAGGGGAATATATATTTTTTCCAGTGCTGTAATTTGTCTAAAAGATTTTTATACAAAAACTAAATCTATAATAGTTTTGTTAATCTGCATGCAGCCACAATTCTTAGAAAAATAAGGGATTAAAATAATATTCATGAACATTAATAAGTCTTTGTTGTGAATCAAACAAACAGTATGTTTGCAGCATTAGCTATCACAAAAATGTAACAATTTTATTCATAGAGATAAAAGCTTACTGAACCTGAGGCAAAATGGTCAGCTGTCTACGTAGTGTGTGAAGTCCAATATTGGCAATGTCCACTCCATCTATTATTATTTGTCCTGAAGTAGCTTCAATGAGACGAAACAGGGACAGCACCATTGATGATTTCCCAGCCCCTGTTCTACCTACAACTCCTATCTTAAATTAAAAAATAATTTCAATCTTTGACTAAAAAATAATTTCTATCTTTAATTTAAAAATAATTGCTATCTTAATTAAAAAATAATTGCTATCTTTATACCTAGGTTTGCTTTCTTATGTTAAAAATAACAGATAAGACTATTTTTTATATTAATGCAAAAAATTGCTACAAATAATTTTACAAATGATGTTTTTTGTGATTTACATCAAGCGTTAATTTTATTTACACAAAATATTGAAGAACACAACTGCTTGTACAAGTGCTTTTATAAGTTCATACCAACTAATTCCTTATCCATTCATAATAGCTAATTCTTTATCCACACAAGATACTTTAGCTTGAAGTTTTAATTATTTAGACTATCATCTAATGAGTTCACCTTCTCTCCACCTTGAAATGTAACATTCACATCATTGAGGACCAAATCAAGCTCATCTCTGTACTGGGTGCTGTAGTTTACAAACTGAATTTTTCCACTGGATGGCCAATCAATTTCCGCAGTCTTCTCTTGATTGTCCCATGGTTTCTGTTAAAATTTTATATCATCTTATTTTGCAGAAATCAGACTTGTAAAGTATTGGAGTAGGGGGTAAAGTAAAGGGAAAAAAATACTTTTATGAAACTGGGTAAAAGTTTAAGCAAACTTGATGTATTTTCGATAAATTATACAAATTCTTCTTAAATACTAATCTTAATAAGTCTAGTTCCTTTATATATATATATATATATATATATATATATATATATATATATATATATATATATATATATATATATATATATATATATATATACATATAAGTTAAACAAAAATAAATGTTGACCACACCTCACTTGGAAGGGATGAATACTCATCTATTCTCTCCACAGAAACAACATGGCCCTCAAGGTCCCCAAAAACCATTGTAAGAACATTCATATCACTAGATACCTGTAGTTAAACAACATTTTATTTCCCGATCCTCTGCTATACTGGATGAATAACAATGTACAAAACATTTTGCACTATGTATAGCAGGCTAAATCATCCAGTACTTTAATTGCCTTGTATGTAACAGTAATCTTTAACAATGCATTTATAAAAGTTCAGCACATTTTTCTTAATATTTAAATTTAGTTCCAAATGTTGATATCCATACAAAGATGAAAATCAATACTGTAAGGAATAAATGCATAGTCTTACAGCAATAAAAAACATTGATCAACTAATTAGAGCAGAATAACAAATACAAGATTAGTGGGTTTTTTTAGTTTGTAGGTGACAGTTTTTACAAATTCATTTTTGTCTTAAGATGAAGTTACACCAAAAAATGTATAAAAAAAAATTTTTTCAGCAACAAAAATGAAGTAATGAAAACGAGACTTTTATAAAGATTTGATGCTTACTTTGATTGCATATGTGACAGCCAGACCAACTAGCCCAGGAGACAGGTCTTCTCTGTAGTAGACAGCAAATATGGCTGTAGCCACAATCACAACATAGTTCAGCATATTGAGTCGGGCCTCCAGCCACCTAGTCATATATTCATCAAGCATGTTAATGCATTCACTGACTAACTTGGGGAACAGAATATATATATATATATATATATATATATATATATATATATATATATATATATATATATATATATATATATATATATATATATATATATATATAATTCTCTTCTGGGAGATGTTAGAAAACAAGCTGCAAGCGCCTCCTTACAGTCCCCTCTCTTTCTCTCTATCACTATCACTACCACCCCCACCCCACCCCCACATGGTCTGGTGAGTTGTGGTCACAATAAATTAAATGTTTACAAATCGTAGAGCCGGGTTTAGTGACGGCTATTAGGGGCAGATAATTTAGTTTGAAACGATTTTAAACTTACAGGAGGTAACTAAGAGGAGGCTATTTCACGGGCGGGGGGGGGGGGGGTGTAGGGTCGGGGTTAGTGGAAAGGGGGGGGGGGGGTTAGTGTTTTAAAGCAAATATTTTCAGTGGCAGCATTGGTACTGTCAAACTCACAAATTATGAATTACTCAAAAGTAGAAAATAAAACAACTAAATAACGGCGTATGATACGCAGTGGGTCGGCTCGTATATATATATATATATATATATATACATATATATAAAAGTATATATAATATATATATAAATTATATATATAAATATATATATATATATATATATATATATATATATATATATATATATATATATATATATATATATATATATATTTATTTATTTATATATGTATGTATGTATATATATATATATATATATATATATATATATATATACTGTCTCTTACTCTCAAAAAGAGTAACATTAGTTAACAAGTTAACACATAATCAGCAACAGGAGACACATACTTGTTTAAAGTTTTTGAAGCTATATTCCCTTTCTGAAACAAGTCAATTTTCTCCAGAGACTCAGCAATGAACCTGTCTTGGGCTTGATAAGCCCTTATGACACTGACCCCAGACAAAGTCTCACTGAAGTGTGAGTACACAGGGGATCTGTTGTTGGAAGAAATACGACGTAGCTGGCAGGATGTCCGCATGTAAAGTTGCTGAAATAAAATAATTGTATTAACATTTTTTTTCTATCTGTGATAACAATTCCTTATATGTTTTATTATCTTCAATACTAACTATTCATATATATATGAATAAATACTGATAATAATCATCTATATAATAAATTCTTCTACCCCAACAAAAGTAATTATAAATAATTCAGAGTAATTTCCCTTACCTGTATAAAAATTAAAATGATAACAATGGGTACCACAACAGACAGGAAAATTGGCATTGTGTAGCTCATAACAATAATAGTTCCAATACACCTTAATAAATTGTCCAGGCAGGTTTCAATTTCAATGAAGATGTTATCATCAATGCTGTCAATATCCTGGCTAAAGCGATTTAAAATACGGCCAATGGGAGTTGTATCAAAGAAGCTCATTGGTGAATGCATGATACCAGACAGCAAATCAGAGTGGAGGTTTCTGGATGCTCTGATATGTCCCAATTGAAAAAACACAGCATAGCCAACATCAAAAAATGCTGTAAGAATATATAATATAGATAAGACGAGAGAATTGATTTTAAGAGAAAACTAAACACTTCAAAATTTTAATTAACTACAAAATTATTTTTAAATGTAAGAATATATAATATAGATAAGCCAGCAGAATTGATTTTAAGAGAAAACTTATCAATTCAAAATTGAGGGTAAATTTTAATTAACTAAAAAATTATTTTTAAATGATTAAGATACAAGAGCAAATGTATAAACAAAAAACTGGCAAAATGATTTTTTACTAAATGAAATTTACAAGATTAGTTAATGATTTAGTAAAAACAAAAGTGCTTTGAAAGATAACTACATATGCAGATACCTTTTTAAAAAAAGTAAATGCATATAATACAAAGATTCCTACTCATTGCTATTGCTAATCCAGCATAGACCCCAATGTAATAATTATTTCTATCTTCTCTATTAGTGCTGTTCCCTGGCATCATTGTAAAATTGTTCAGCCCAGCGTCATCAGTCCAGTTGGCTAGCCAGACATTGGAGTAGTTGTAGATAATTTGGTAAATTATGAAAAGTGTCAGGAATGTTATGCAGTTGTACACTCCAATACTTTTCATTAGCTGACCATACACTGACCAATTCACCTGCAATGCAACAAAAGTAATAAAAGGAAAATTCACTCTGATGTCAAACCTAGAAAGTGAGATCAATGTCACTGGTTGTTTCATGCAGATATTATCAGTAAAACCATAAGGTAGAGGTAAGTACATTATTGTTTTTACTATAGAGTTTAAAAATCATTTCATGGCACGATAGAATTTTTATATATTTTAAGCCTTTTATTATAAAAACATAAATGCTTGGAAAGTTCTCAAAGCAAACAAACACTTTTTCACTTTTCTTGCATATTAAACATAACCCTGGTGTGCAATGATGATATTAAGCTAATTAAATAAACCTATCAAGGGAAGCATTTAAAAACTGTTTTGAGTTTCAAAACAATTCAAGATTGTTTAAGTATAAGAAACTGTTTCTTTCAACAAAATTAATTTCAATTTTAACAAATCAGGTAAACATTGTCAAACTGTTCTATCTTACCTTTCCCTGTTGCATTTTTTCATCTGATGTCAGTCTGCTCCTATCTGTTGTCGACTTGTTGCCTTTATCCTTAGCAGATTTTAATATTTCAGTTTGTACTCCAAGCTTTTCATTTGATTTCAATGCTAATGAACCTTTACTATTAAAATGAATTTCATATTTTCAAAATTGTTAAATTATGAAAGCATGTAAAACGTTTTTTTTTATATAAACAAATATAACCAACAACATACTACTTTTTAAGTACCTATTTAGTAATAAAGTATTGGAACCTAAACCATCCTATTCTTTTTTTTTAAATGTACTAAACACAACATCAAAACAGTCAGATTTTGTTAATTTAATTGTTTTGTAGATTATGTGTTTCATGTTTTCAATATTTGTCAAGGCCATAAGCAGCATAATTTGTTTGTTCATAAAAATTAATGACTTGGTGTGACTTTATACTATGGTAGTAAACACAAACTAAATATGCCTGATTCACAAATTCATGAAAGTATAGTTATACTGCCTTTAAAAACAAATTAAGATTGTTTAATAAAAAATGTCCCATTACCTTGTTGAAATTTTTTCATTATTCAACAACCCCTCACTTCCATTCAATGAATGCTTGCTGCTGTAAACAGATACCAAATTCTTTAAATCTTCTTCAGCTTGTTCAGACATGTTGCTGGCATCACTTGCCACTGATGCTAATCTTTTTAAGATGTCAGCTTTGATTGTTTCATCTAAATTGATATCAGAATATTCAATAATAATATAAATTCAAATTATTTAAACACACTTAAGTTGAAACAAAGAGAGCTTATATAGTGAATATAGGCCCCATATAAAAAATTAAAATACACTTTTAAATTCACTATAGCATACATTTTTTATTAAATTATATTACCAATTGTATTATTAAATTGTCCATAAGCAATTCATTGGTAAGAAATTTGTTGTTTAAATATAATATTGCTCTAACAAAAAATGTTGATTTAACACAATATTTTTTAAACCTTGTTCTAAAATAGTATAAGGTGTAAATCACTCAAATTCTCAAAATTAAGCTCAAACATCCCATTTTTAAAAGCCTAACTTTTCTATAGACCAACTTCTTAAAAGAATAACTTTTCTTAACCTAAAGCCAAAATTTTCTTAACTTAAAGACTAACTTTTCTTAATGAAAATTGCATGGTCAAAAAACATAGCTAATGGTAAATAAATTGTTATTCATTTTAATCACACAAGTGACATATGCTTTGTGACTTTATTAAACTGTATATACAAAAGTTGTCTAAAATCTTGGATTAAGTAAAATTTTATGTTAATTAATACAAATTAACTTATAGGCTTTTGTTTTTCTTCATAAAAGTTCTGAGTAACCAAATAAAACAACTTGCCAAAAAGGTCATCAGTTGTGCTATCTACATGATTTACTTGCACAGCTCTGGTCAAATACTGTGTGAGGAACTGGGCGAAAGCCCCATTGTGAGAGAGTAACTCTTCATACGTTCCACTCTCAGAAATTGTGCCATCTTTCATCACAATGATGTGATCAACCATGGGCAGCCAGTGTATCCCATGGGTCACTAAAATTCTTGTCTGTAAATTATAATTTAGTCATTTATATTTTATACCTCTAAGCTACAAAACTTTTTTTTGACTAAGTCACTAACTAATCACAGATGGAACCTGTTGTAGCATATTGTTATTACATTACAATTTAAACTTTAAAAATTGAAAGATTAAAAAAGGGCAATGGACAGTGTGGTCGACCGGTAATGTTTGACTGCTAGCCCAAAGGTCTCGAGTTCGGATCTCAACTTGGACTCATGACTGTAGGACATCACTGAGTCAACTCAGCTTTGATGGGTACCTGGCTCACATTAGGGAAACAAAAGCAACTGGTTATAGTGCTGACCACACTATTCACTGTCTCTTCATTTGCTTAAGTCATTGAAACAAATGAACACATACTTTCCTACCTTACCAGCAAGCAGCCCTTCGTTACTTAAGACATGATCAAAGATGTGTTTGCCAACATGGCTGTCCACAGCACTTAAAGGGTCATCCAGTAAGTAGATGTCAGCCTGACTGTACACCGCCCTGGCCAGTGACACACGCTGCTTCTGACCTCCAGATAAATTTATGCCCTAAATAGTGGGAAAAAAATTAATCATTTTAATTGTATGCTAATATAATGAGTTTTATTTTTTTTTATTTACATATGTTGTCAATTTCTTTCAAAAATAAATAGCCAGTCTTTCTTTAAAATTTTTTAAAAATAAATACCACCTTTTCTCCAATTTCTGTTTAAAACAAGTAACCACCTTTTCTCCAATTTCTGTACCATCTCTGGCAGGCAAAATGTCAAGGTCAGGCTCTAGAGCACATGCTTTGATTGTTTGTTGATAAAAGTCAAATTGATATTTCCTTCCAAATAAGATGTTCTCCTTCAGTGTGTTGTTCTGGATCCATGCAAGTTGTGGTACATAAGCTGTTGAAGACTGTAATTTTAACAAAAAGGTTAAAATTGTTAACAAAAATTTTTACTTTAACACAAGATTAGTTTTTTTTGTTATTACTATATCAAATCCATTTTTAACTGCTAGTGACTTATTCATATCAAAGATTCAGAACTCATCTTGATCAGGTTTTATATGTTGGCTATTAGATTTTGTGCAACTTACATTTATGTTAAAATAGCCATTTATTTTGTGCATTTCACCAAGCATCGCTGAAAGCAGTGAAGATTTTCCAGAACCCACAGCTCCAACAACAGCTACCATTTGTCCAGGCGGGACACACAAATTGATGCTAAATTCATTCAAAAATACTTTTTTAACAAATTGGAATGATTAATTTGCAAATTAATACTAACCCTACCAAAATAAAGTTTTTTTCAGCATTCAAATTAGATCAAATTACACAAGATTGAACTCAGAAAATTACCAAGTACTATAATTTTTTTTTTTTCATTCGAACATGGTGAATTACACTTTAAATGTTTTTTTTGTGAATATGAGTGTAAAGTATAATTAGAGATAACATGACTACTAATTTCAATATCACTAAATTTAAAATATAATCAATTCAAACATATTTTATGTGCACATTTTACAACATTCTACAATGACAAACATGCCAATAAAATTTTAAAATTTGGTTTGACTTCATTAAATAATATTTCACAGTACCTTATTTTCAAATGTATTTAACAGTAATAAAAATAATTAAATTTAATAACCTTTTAAGAATTTGAGGTCCAGATTTTTCCCATGCAAAATCTGCATCTTCAATCCTTACTGACATTGCTAAACATTAATAAAAAGTACACTTTTGCATTATATAGTGAAAACTAGAGCACAATAAATAATTAAAGAATATTAAAATATTAAAATAGGCCTGCATTTTTTTTCTTATATACTGAATGAACAAAAGTGTAAACTATGTAAATTTATAATTTTAGTTACCATGAATTAAAATAAATTAAAATTGATGTTGAATTATATAAAACTTACAGTCATGTTTGTTTCTGATCATGTTCACCATATTTATATCATCTGAGTTTATCAACTTGTTTAACCGTTTTAATGAATTCTTGCACTAAACACAAATATACAAAAAAATAACAACTTGGGCTAAACAACAACTTGGGCTAACTAATAAGGTAAAAGATCTTTCTCATTTTATCCTAACTATATGGTGTAATGGAGTGACAAAAAGCTTAAGCTCGGCAGAAACAATGAAGTGTAGCCACTGGTAATATTGATGTGTCAGGTACTCATTTTTAGAAGATGCAACAATGTGCCTGGCTTTATGAGCATTACCCAAGCTGGTTGGGCCCAAATAATGACAGAGAGAAAGAGAGTAAAGTTTCCTTTTTGAACATACTGTCCACTGGGCTAGTAAAGTAGAGTTTACCTGTTTCTGTGATCTCATTATATGAAGGGATAGTGTGGTCAGCTTTATGCCCAACCGCCTTTCCCTAACATGAGTTAGGTACTCATCAGAGTTGGGTGGGCTAAGGGACGATCTACTGAATATAACATTGATTCAACATAGAGTCCAGCACTCTACTTCTAGGCCATGCCATGAGAGAGTGTGATAAGAAAATAAAGAACAAAAACAATACAATTCTAACATACCTTTACAACATCCTTCATTAGCATAGGCAACATATTAACAGCCAGTTTGATAACATTTCCGTAGTTGATGCTCATGAATGCAGTGCTGGCATCCAGGTAGTGATTATCAGAGATCAACACATAGGTCACCAGCATTAAATAGCTAGACTTTAAAACAATGTTAAACATAAATATGTAAAGTAACAACAATAAAATTAATAATGTAAGGTTTTTATCTTCCGACAAAAGAGAAGTCACATTTTTACAATTATGCTGGAACAAGAATAAGCATGAGATTCAAATCTATGCACTGTTATAACCTAAGCTTTAGTTTTCAAAATGGTTGTATGCATAAATGTTATCATTTCACCCAATTGATTACCTACCCAGACCATAGAAACATGCCATGCAAATGTTTGAACACCAGATAATATGGAGTATTTCCTCAAAATTTTCAGCTCATCATCTCGAATATCCAGGATTTTTTTCATAAACATTGGCTCCCAGCCATATAGTTTAATAACCTGGTGTTAGAAAAAGAACTTAAATTAATGCTTTGAAATTAACATAATTTGTAATATTTCTTTCTAAAAATTGTGCAAGTTAATTTAAAACTAGCGACTGGAATAACTAAAAACTGGACTTTACTACGCATTGGCTGGTGTTAGGAAAAAACTTAAATAAATGCTTTAAATTTTAAAAATTTATAAAATTTCTTTCTGAAAATTCTGATTATTAATTAATTTAATACCAATAATTTGATTAACTAAAAACTGGATTTTCTTTGGGTCATGAACTTTACCTTGATGCCATTTAAAACCTCATTTGTTACTTTAATCCTCTCATCCTTAATCCTCATCATCTGCTCATGGTAGCTCCTCATTTTTTGCATTACCCACAAGTTAGCAGCAAACATTAGAAATATGAAGCCTAGGCCTGGAAAAAAATTCTCCAAATTTTTAAGCTCCTCATAAAACAATAAATGCTATTAAAGCTACATTTTGGTTAGTTTTTAAATATTGACTGAGCTCCTAATACAACAATCAATGCTGTTTAAGCTTCATTTGGATTAGTTTTTAAATTTTGACTTAACTACAAGACTTGTACAATCAAATGTTCCAGTCCTGTGAAATCATTAAGGTCAGTTGCACCCAAAGGAAAAATGGTCTGCATCAACACCACTGATGATTTTTATGTGGCTCATACATTTAACACATTTATTTGAATTTTGATTCATAAAACCTACAATTAAAATTTCTCCCAAAAAATATTCAGAACATGACATCCTACCAGCCAGAAGAGAAACACCAATAACTTGATAGAGCAAGTAGATTCCCATGACAAAAAAGGCAACACACAGCCAAGACCAGAAGGAATATCCCAGTGTTTTCTCAATGTGTCCCATGTCTACTGACATCAGGTTGACAATTTCACCAACTGTTGATTCTTTGCGAGCCTCGTTACTCATTGTCAAAGCCTGTTCAAAAAGTATGATTTAAATTCTAAAGCATTCTACTTTCAAAACTTGATGATGAAAATAAATTATGTCCCCTAGCACATAGCCTGGTATATATCATCAATAATAAAGCATATTGGTTTTAACGCTTTAATATAGACTAGGGAAGGAAAACAATTTGCATACACCAGGACATAGCTAGAGCCTGGACAAAAATATACATTATCTATAGTTAAGCTTTCTAGTTTTAAAGCATTTAAATGGACCCTAAAGATTCTTATATGTTTACATGATATAAAGTGAGTACAGAAATATCCATAATTTAAAAAGAAAACAGAAATTACAAAAAAAGAAGAGAACAATATAAATAAGACTTAATTTTGTGTGAAAAATACTAAGGGTAACATGCTAAAAATATTAACACTTATCTGTCTGAAATATCAATTTACTAAACAACAACTAAAAAAAACATCTTTGTTTTAATGTTACATATATTCACCTTTCTTAAGACAGTGGCTATCCCAGCACTTCTGACGCGAGCAGCAAAACACAAGTTCAGCCACTTGGCCAAAACCCCAAAGACATTGTTCATTATTCTAGCTAAGATGAAGGCCAGTGCATAGATGTAGCCATGCCAGACTTGCTCTGATGTGTCCTTGGTGAAGTCTATCAGCCACCTGTTCTTCATGAAAACAAAACTATCAATATATTCATTCACATTACTTTTTAAAATTTATTTCACCAATAAAATTGATCACACACATCTACAAGAAAAATATTGCTTCAGAAATCTCCCATTAATAAATATTAACCATACTCTCCCCACCTATAATTATACAATTTTATATATATATATATATACGTATATATATATACGTATATATATATGTATATATATATATATATATATATATATATATATATATATATATATATATATATATATATATATGAAATAAAAATAAACAATATAAGAGAAATTATGTTTATATAAGGTAAAATTATAAAACTATAATTAAATTTGTAACCATATAAAATGTTTAAGCTAAATACAGCACAATTTTAAAACACAACTTATATAATAGCCAACCTGGCAATGTTGCTTACCCTAACAGGATAGGGCTGATAATATGTGTAACCACAAACATCATTATCCCCCACTGACAAGAAACAGCTTCCATCCAATAGCATTTCAGCATGATTTTTAACATAGACAGCCGAGGCACGGCCCTGTTCTTACTGTCTATTTCCCTCTGCAGCTTCGCATCTTTACTATCGGTGCCATCTAAATCAGTTGGTTCTGGGATTTCTTTGTTGTTTCCCTTGAACATAACTTTAGAAAAACCATACTGCTCATCAGAATCAAAGGACTGAGTTTCCTCAACATGTCTATCCTCAGCATTCTTCACATGGTCAACTGGCAACAATGGAATTTCATTTTCCCAGTCTTGTGATAATTTATACTTTGTTCTTCTACTCCGGATGCTTAAATAAGTAAGGGAATATCTAAGAATATATATTTATTTATATATATATATATATATATATATATATATATATATATACATAAACATATAAACATACACACACAAAAACATGGGTCTAGGATAAAACAATAGATCTGACAATTCATTTAATTTTTTTGGCAAATCAGAATAAGAATAAGACTTAAAATTTATTTTTAAAATCATTTTGGAAAAATTTAGTGTGTTGAATTAAAACAATGTTATGACGGAACATATAGCATACTTTGATGACTTTTCAGTTTCATTGTCCCATACATGTAACAGCTTCCTGTAAGCCCTTTTGGCTTTGTCCCGTGGGTTTAAATTGTAGATATCCTCATTCTTCAGCTGAGACCGAAATCCTTTCCAAACCAGTCTACATTACAGTTGAAGAAAACATAATAAGTAACTAACTATTTTTTTTAGGGTAAATTTTTCAACAAAGTACTTTAAAAATGTTTGCCAACGCTGTTAACAAAATTGGTTAAAATTAGAATATAAAAATTATTACTTTTGAAAGTCCAGAAATAGCTTCCTTATTGAGTACATACCCATAACCATGAAGTATCAGGCTTTTTTATTTATTTTAAGATAGTATTTAAAATATAATAAAATGTGCGACTAACATTGTGTATTAAAATTAATGAACGAAGAAAGAAAGTATTTATATATAAAAAGAAAAAAAAATCAAGTAATATCTTTATTCTTTGTGCAAAATAATCTAACTGTAGGAAAATTATTTCTAAATGAAATATCTATCTTTGCTTTAGGTTGAATTAAGTCTTAAACTTACCTATCATACCACCCTAGAGACAACCACGACAAAAGGGATGCTGAGATTTCAGGAGAGTCATCCTAAAATTCACATTTTTTTCAAATTTAAATCAGAATATTTGTATTAATATAAGTAAATTCTTAGCAAACGTGGCTTTAAACTACATTTTATCCAATTGAATTCAACTGAGAATATTAACTCTGAGATGTAAATAACGTTTTTAGTTACCTGGTTCCTTTCTTCAATGTTGTCAGCGAAACCATACAGGATTAAAATACAACAATGAACTCCAAATTTGGTACACACCATAGCAAAGGGTAATGTATTTGTGTCATATTTCTGTTGAAATTATGGTTATTGTTAAATATCATGTATTTAAAATGTTTTTGTGGTTGCTTTTTTTAATGGGGGGGGGGGGGGGGGGTGGAGTCTCAATATGTTTGATTTAACCTATAGACAGTCATTAGCTTTAATAATGATTGAAGGAGTCTACATCCAATTCAAGGATTAGTGGCAACAATTATTAATTAATTAAGGTAGGCAAAGATAGTCACCCCCTCAACTTCTATGAAAGTGTTGAGCACTGATGGTCTTAGAGAGAAGTTGGGTTGATTTGCTATAATGTTTTTAATAATAAACCATAATTTAAAAAATTAAACTAGTGGACCGTCCAAACCTTCAAAATAATGGAGGTGTAGAATGGAACAAGGGAAACAACTGCTGTTAGAGTCCAGAAGAGAAACAAAACAGGAGACCTGACTTTATACTTGGTCCATTCCAGATACACAAAACAGCAGTTTAAAACCTGGGAACATTTTGGTATATTGGTATAAGTAAGACCATTTAGGCATTGTTCCCTAAAATTTTATGAAGTAGGCTTCTTTTTTAATTGTATGCAAGATAATAATTTAATATATAGGCCTAATTAATAAAATTATAGTATAGTAATTATATAATATATAAAACAAATAAATATAAATAATAAAGGCCTAAGTAGTATTATATCATATATATGTGTATAGATAGTTACTGTTAGTGTTAAGTAGTGTTAACTATAGTACTACTAGTAGTAGTAATAGTACTGACTACTGACTATAGTAAATACTAAAAAATAGTTAGTATAGTTAAGTATAGTCAATACTTAATGAAAGTTAATGTGAATCAATAGGCCTACAACTTGTAAGCCTATAGATCTATATCTTCTTATTATTCTAGTTATGTTCTAGCACTAACCATTGTTGCCATCCATGTAACTGGAGCCAAAACATTAGCGCTGATGAAAGCATGAGACTGCAGTCCGTCAAAGACCTCAAAAATGTTTACGACGAAAATGGCTAAACTGAAAAACTGTTGACGAAAGAGTTATCGGTATTGTAAGGGGAGGGCACTCATTTGAATTCAGATGATTTTTTTTTTAATGTGAAACATTACCTACGCATAACAATATGAATTTTAATTGTAAATAATTCTAGATACTTCGAATTGTGTGTCTTAAGCTGAGATGTAAAAGACGATTCTAATTATTATCAGTATACAGAATTATCGGCCAGATTCAATGTTGCAGATCCCAAAAAGTCGCACTGCCTCAGGCTTTCCATTAAAGGTTCAACCTAATGGAGTCAGATCTAGGATTCTTTAGCACTAATGTTTCGCGCCACTGAAAACAACCAGACATTCTCATTTTGAGCGATAAATTAGGCTAAGTAAGAGCTAAAATAACACTACGAAATAATGTTTTAATTCGAAAACTCCTCATTGTCAAATCGGGCAGTGAAAATTGTTTTTTTTAAAGATTAAACAAAGTGGATTTGACTTAGCAGACAGAAAATACCCGTGGCTAATTTATTTATATCAGGCGTTCGTAGCAGTAGCGTAACGAGGGGGGGGGGGCGGGGGGGGGGGACATTTGTCCCCGGGCGCCGACCTTAGGGGACGCCAAAATGGGTTGGAAAAATAAATTGAAAGGTTGAGGGGGGGTGCAAATCGAAAGTTTGAGGGGGGGGGGGGATGCAAATGGAAATCTCGAGGGGGGGGGGTGCAAATCGAAAGTTTTGGGGGGGGGGGTGCAAATCAAAATCTCGAGGGGGGGGTGCAAATCGAAAAGTTTGTCCCCGGGCGCCGGGAAGGGTCGCTACGCCTCTGGTTCGTAGGCAGGCCTACTCGGTGACAGAGCCTTACCGTCAGCATCATCATCGGTGTTTATTTTTGGCTTCTCTTCGGGCTTCGCCCCCTTCCCCTCCCCCGAACAAAATATAATTTATAATGAAAAGATATCATTTTAAAAATGTCCGCCCCATCCTCGGAAAATTTCGTTTGCCCCCCCCCCCCCCAAATATTCAAGTGCCCACCCCCACTCCGGATAAAAAATTCCGAAACACCAACCATCATTCACGTGGAGCGTGTTAAGGACACGACCACAACTCTCCGTCGTACCCCGGCAGGAACTTACCAGCTTCAACCCAAACATCACGCTCAGCCGTCTGTTCTTACGCTCTATGGACAGGAGATGGTAGGCGTAGAAGGGCGCGGACAGCCACAGCCAGCCACAGGCAGCCCAGGTGAGAACGGTGTCCTGGAAACATTCGGTAAACTGTGGCCAGGTGCTGTTGCTCCAGGTCAGATCTGTGTCCTGAAAGGCAAGTCAGAGCGTAGGCTATTTAGATCAAAGGCTTCAGATCGTAGGCAAGACAAATCGTAGGCAAGTCAAATCTTAGTCAAGTCAAATCGATTCCCAAAAAGGACAAGTGCAATTGTTACTTTTTTCCTCGCTTAAACAATCATTTTCTTCATTTTCTACTGGTTCTCTGACTGCATTGAAATGACCACATAATCCATTCATTTTATCGAGGTCCGCGAGACTTATTAGCTCTACATTATCCGTTATGGGTTGTCAAGTTGGAAAGGGAAACCTACTTTAATAAGGTAGAATAGACACAAGGTACTGAAGCTATGATAGTGGGTACTAGTGAGATCTATCGTGTTCATTTCAAGTGAAGTTCAAAAGCAATCTCCCTTGCCCCAACCCGACAATATCAGGTTCGATCGATATAAAATCACAGAAGCGAGCATGCGTGGGCAGGGTGGCGTGTGGGCAGTGGCGTCACATTTTCGATTTGGACTCTCCCACCCCACAATACCATTTCATCATTGTTTTGGGGGGGGGGAGTGATTTTTTTGTTTTTTTTTAAGTCACCCGGTTCGGACATTCCCCCACCCCGCATTGTGGGAAAGATGGTTTATTTTTCTTCGGCATTTTGTTAGCTCTGTTGGAAACTTGTAAACTGTTTACACATTGAATGTTTTATTAATAAGTTGTGACGTTGAGTTCCCCGAATTATCCGCCCCCTCTCAGCCCTCTTAGTTCAGCACCAACGACTCTCCACCCCAGTCTCTGATTGTGTAATTTTTATTTAACAAATATTCAACTTCGCTGCAACAACAACAACAACAACAAAAACCTTTTTAATGTAAGTAATAGGCTAACAAATTATTTTTAATTTTTCTTCTTCTTCTTCGTTCTTAATTATTAGTGTTGAAGGGGATCGAGATTTATCTGCCAGTGGGTTTGAACTCGAGACTTTGTTCGAATTTATCAACCATGAGCTTTTTGCCTACTCGACCACGCCTCCAACACAATTAAGCGTTACGTGTCAACTGGTTAAGCGCCATTGAGGCCATTGACTCCGATTTCAGCCTGCTTTTCTTTTTGGATTTGCTTCCATAGCCTTTGTCCAACCAAGAACAAACTACAAGGCAGCAGTTGTTTAATTTTGGAGTTGTCTCTCCTAGAAGAGTGGCTGTCCCCAGCTAACGAGCCTCATCTGCCCGAGGGTTCGAACTCGAGACTTTTCGGTTTAGCAACCATGAGCTTTACCGACTCGACCACGTCGTACCCCCTATTTTTAATCAAATAATTATTAATTACCCATAGTTTGTCGTCACCGCATAACTTCTCCATTGCTGAGTGTAAACCAGACGAGCGGGGCGTCAGACTTGGGGGCTGAAAATAAAATGAAATCAAATGAAAATAGTCAATAATATTCACACATCTTAAAACTATAACAGAACTATTTTCTTACAACACTAAACTAAATCGTCGTCTTAGTTTACCCATCCCATATACAATTTTTCTTTTCCTACTTCGCCTATTCTGGTGCTAATTTGTGAAACAATCTTCCTAATGAATAAATATATCTGTAATTGAAAATACATTCAAAACAAAACTTTAAAAAAAAAAACTATTTCAAGACCTAATAAACTGAGTTATCGAAGCATTTCTCAATCATCTATTCTTTTCTCATTCTATTCCATTATATATTATAACTACGTAATATTATATCATTACTCCACATGTTTAAATGCTATTTTTACTTAAATTGTTATATTATTTAAATGTCGCTGATGTTATTTTATTTTTAAATAAAGGCCATTGTGGAAAAAAGGCCTTGGTGGCTACTGTTATTACCTTTATAAATTAATGTTTTATTATTATTGTTATTAGGTTATATCATTTTATATCATATATCAGCTAGCAATACAAACATATTCATATAGCCGGTATCGTTATGGTTAATCATCAGAGAGAACATCTTTAAGCAGGAGGTGTGGACAGGCCAGCCGGTCTACTGGGAAAAAATACCGGTATGCCCCTTCCCCCCCCCCCCCCCCCCCCCCCAGGAAAAATGTCAGGAAGGGTGTTGAATTAGAGTTTTGATTTTTTTTTTTTATTGTTGGTATTTTACCATTTCTTTAGGCCAAGTCGTAAAGTTGGGCTTTGGTGAAGAAAAAAGGCAAAATGAAAATTTCAATCTCGGGTTAGCGCCCCTTTTAAAATTTCCAGGGCCTCTGTCTGGGAGACAGCCCGTAGCTCTAAGCAGTGTTTCTTCCAGACTTTATTCTCCGGGCGGGGGGGGGGGGGGGGCAATTGATATTTTCGGGGGGGGGGGGCGCTCAACATTCTCCGGGGGGGGGGGGCGGACACTAGTAAAAGTATATTTTTACTATATAAATTCCATCTCGTTCGGGGGAGGGGGCGGTAGACTTTCTTCGGGGGTGCTCTGCCTCCCCGAAGAGATGCATGGAAGAAACTCTGGCTCTAAGTCAACGACAACTTTCAAATACAGTATAGGCATAGTAAAATACTATATGCATTCTTTATTGAACAAGATCCATGTTTTTAACATAATCGGTTTTATTTTAGAAGTTAGGAGACTCATACACATTAACTACATTGCGATAGAAGTGTAGAAGCTGTTTTAGAATTATAAATCAATTTTAAAATAATAATATTTGCCAAACCTTTTACCATGGAATGTAATTTTCAAACACTACGGTGAAGAAAAAAACACGTGAACATATCGCATAGTGCACATCACGATAAGACTGTAAAGATAAACATTAACGACTAAACAAACGTACGTTGTAGCAAACGATGAAAACTCTCAAGAAATCTTGACAGCACTTGAAAACCAGAAGTCTTACATGAAATTCTGAATAACTAACTGTTTTATGCGGTTTTCAATGCTTCTAAAACGCAATAAATTGTAGATATTTTATGCATAAAATAAATACAAAAACATTAATCACGCTAGTGGCACGTTTTAAAAAAAAACGTAGTTATTATTAACTTGTAAACTGGGGAGCGTAATAAACTATCATCGAACAAGACAATGACAGAATAGCTCAAACAGAAAGCTGTTGCAGGGGGATAATCGTTTCCTAATCCCACTATATCATCCAATTTACATAATTGTCTATCACTTAATGTTTATTAAGTATGCATTGTATAACGTTCATATTGCCTTTATTTTTCTGCATACATATACTTATACGCGCACAATAACCTATATATATATATATATATATATATATATATATATATATATATATATATATATATATATATATTATAATATATATATATATATATATATATATATATATATATATATATATATATATATATATATATATATATATATTATAATATATATATATATATATATATATATATATATATATATATATATATATATATATATATATATATATATATATATATATATATATATATATCAGAGACAAATGAATTGCTAACAGGAGAAGGCATATGTAAAATAAACCGGGAGTGATCTCCCCTAAACTTTCTCGAATATTCTTATATAAAATAACAGGGGATGGGAACTCGGGCTATAGACATGATTTTTAATCCATTTTAAATACTTAAAGTTTTAAAAATAGAATAAAATCTCGTAGACAGATAAATTGCACACCAAGTGAAAGCCAAATAAAAACGCGTATAATAGTGCGCAATATTATTAGTACTTTAAAAATTTACATTAGTTTTTTGAGAAATCGGAAGTAGCGTAAATTACTACTTCCAGTCAACGGAAATTACTCAAAATTTAACAGAAGTTAGAGAATTAGATCTTTTACTTACATGTGAAATTTCATTTATCTATCTGAAATAGTACTCAAGTTATAGGCTTTTGAAAAATTCAAAGTAGGAAAAGTACCACTTCCGGTTGTCGGAAATCGCTCAAAAGTTGATACGGATCTACGATTTTGATATAATACTTATATATGAAATTTCATCAACCTAGCTGTAACGGTACTCAAGTTATCGTGTTTACACACGGACACACAGACACACACACACACACACACAGACATACGGACAAGATTGCAAAATTATGTTTTTCCGTATCAGTGAGGTGTAAAACGTCGAGATTTGTAAAAATCTCGATTTTTTTTTTTGCACGATTACAATACTTTCTCTATACTTCGTATATACAAGAAAGTAAAAAAAAAACAAGAAAAAAAACTGTTTATTAAGTTTCAATGTTACTAAAGACTATAATTTACATATTTATATTAACAATACTAATATAAATGTGTAGGCCTATATAGCTTAGCATTTTAAAAGGTTGAGTGATAAGGCGGTAGATTTGTTCATCACAAGTGCATTTACTCTACGGAAGCGAAAAAAATAATCAATTAAGAAATCAGTATGCTCAGGGTATCGTGGATTTTCAACATTTTTTTAATATTAAAAAACTCTAATTTAAAAAAAATTGAGGGCGAAATTCTGAAACAAATAAATATGCTTATCAATCACAAAAGTCTAACAAAGTTTGGGATGCCAATGCAAATATAAAAGCTGCTAATCCTTCGTCGTCTGGCTTGTGTGGCGGATTGTATCAAAGGGGAATACAAAACTGCGTGACTTTATAATAGTATGTTTTTCTCTCCCCTATAAAGAGGCTATATACAAGTGTATACTCAAGTTCGTGCTTTAATATATAGCCAGTAAGCTATATGATATAATAAACTATAGGCATATATAGTAAAATTATGTAAATATATACAGACCTATCGTCTATATTATATGTAATATATATATATATATATATATATAATATATATATATATATATATATATATATATATATATATATATATATATATATATATATATATATATATATACTAGACTGTAGACTAGATATATATGTATATATATATATATTTATTTATTTATTTATTTATATATATATACATCTATGTATAGGCTATACGTATTCATATATGTATAGGCTATATATAGGCTATAGGCTACGGTTAACTATGGTTAACTTTATAACTCGTGTACTAAGTTAAAAACTCAACAACAACAAAACTCTGGCCAACTCAAGCTATGACTTACAAGTCAACACCTCCGCTGTTGTGTTTACGGTGACATCCTGTGTACGGTTACATCGACGCTACCGGGTTTCCGTCAACGCTTTTTTTAGACGTCCATGCGATAAGAAGAAATGTGTGTTCTACGTTTGACGCGAAGATTACCCCTATCAAGAGGTTAAAGGTGAAGGGTCGAGCGTTACATGCGACAGGTCCGAAACGAAACAACAGCGTAGCGCACTGGGCATGTACTGGGCATGGAATGGTGGTCTTAGTTTAGCCTGGATGGTAGGCAGGTCGGATTAAAATTTTGAGAAACAGGAAGTATATAGTGTACAGTCTGTGTATAGTTTCCTATGGTGGAAAGATGAGGGTTACATATGAGGACGCGTTACCCTGTTCTGGGCAATGATAGATTCGGGGGTGCAACAGATGCGTAGCCGTCTGAACAATACATAGACTATGATAGACTCTGGGTAGACGTATGTAGTATTTTCTTAAGCCAAACTTTTTTTTATTACTTTCTTGTCTGCTCATCTACAGATACGTAGCGACCCACGACCGACTTACGCCTTCTTTTCTTTATGGACTTGCTCCCATTGTCTTCCCCAGCTATCGGGATGGGGGGTTCGAACTCGCTACTTTTCGGTTTGGCAACCATGAGCTTTACGGGCACGACCATTCGGACCCCTCAAGTCATCTATGAAGAATGACAATAAAAATTATAGATCTCTATAAGTCTTAAACAATTTCAGTTTGCTGTCTCCCAACAACAGTCATCTTCTTCAATTACCCCATCCGGTCATGTGGGTTAGGGATAGGGTTATGGATGGGGTTATGGATAGGGCTATGGATGGGGTTATAGATAGGGTTAAGGATAGGGCTATGGATAGGGAACAGTGTAAGGAAAGGGTTAGAGATAGGGTTTGAAATAGGGATATGGTTAGGTATAAGTCGAGGGGTACACGACGGGTAGGGATGTAGACATGGAGAAGAATAGTGATAGGCATAAGTATAATATGTATTCTAAGGGGGGGGGGGCTAATTACCCAGATGGCGAATTGATTAAGTAGGAGAATTACCGGGGATAATTAGCGGAGAGGGGGTGGTAGTGTCCAATATTCAGAGAATGAGCAGCACATAATTGTATTTGCCTAAATGATTGGCAGCAACATCAAACGACTGGCCTCGACACGAACTAAAATCTATTTAGCACTAATCTATAAGGTACCTGTGTACCATCTTAGAGTAGCCTGTATGGGAGTAAGAGGATCGACCCTTCCGATGTGAATCCTGACAGATTCTCCCGTGT